GTGGCTGCAACCAAAAGTTAAGGTAGCCAGGTATGATTCTCCCGCGCCCCCAGTAGCCCAGCACATCGTCACCCAATGTGCCAACCCATCCACTTGGGCGCTGCTGCTTCACTGGTGCTTCAATGGCAGGTGGTACCTAAGGTACGGATAGTAAACCGTAGACGGAGGTGCATCGCCGAGAATGAGGGCAGGAACCGATAATTCGACAACCTCCTTCCGTCTCTCTGTTCCATTATCCTAGCGTCCGCCTCAAGTCGTTCCGTAGGTACCTTACCTCCCGGATACCAGTCCTCAACTTTGGTCCTTTCCCACGCGCGTCTTCACTCCTCATTGGTTTCTTTCAACACTAGTACCTAATGATCCAGCCAGGATGTACGTTCTTGTCTCCCTTCAATCAATCCAACTCTCAACTACATCGAATTTGGACGCCGTCTGCCAGTCAATCAGCCCGTCGCTGATACGAACACCTTTTTTGCGCCTTCAAAAGTGTCCGAGTGATGTCAGAGTCTCCAAGAAGAGCCTGGCATGGAGATACAAACACCAGCCGTAACTTTCTGTATGGAAGCACCAAGCAGACTGGTCACACCCCTCGACGACGGGACACTGCAGCAAACAGTCAAGTGACAGCGCAAGCTACTGGACCCATTGGGACCCTCATGAGACCCGCACCAGCTGCAGTATGGGAAGGTCAGGTACGGCCGTCCGTCCGTGACTCCATTTGAAGGATGGCGAGGCGACCTGACAACCAAAGATGGTCTACGGAGTATTACACACACAGCACATGGTCTTCCCCTCATCACGCCTAGCCGCTGCATCTCAACGACTGCCACACGACCTCGCCTTCCGCCATGACACCGAAGACGGCCCAGGTCAATCTGGATGAACATGGCTGAAGTCGAATAGGACGGCGGTCATTGAACCTCAAGAACCGTTCATCCGGCAGCGATTGCGCCGGCCAATTTGGACTGATGCGGACATGGCGTGGGTGGTGGCATGGCGGTCTTCACATTCCATCTAGAAGGGAGGGTGTTCCCACTCAGGTACGCCGCACACGCACCAGTTGCAGCGCGGTCGACGTTGCGCGCAACGAATTCTATCGGTCACCAGCTGCCGGCCACGTTCCAGCCGCAAGAGGTCAAGCAAAGGAGAATACTGCCCGGCGACGCCAGCCAGCGGCAGCACCATTGGCGGACGGCTTTTCAGCCCGCCTTACTTTGTACCTTGCCATGCCAGCGAAGCAGAACAAGACGCAGAGAAGCCTTCTCGACCCATTCGTGCCAGTCTGCGTTCTCTTCCTGACTAGCCCATCTCCTGTGGTTGATTCTACCTCTGACCGCCATGGAACAGCACGGTAACTATGTACCCAAGAAGCATCCATATTCTGTGCTCAAAACTTCAAACTCATCCGGCGGCTTCTTCCCCGGGACGTCGAGACCAGTATCCGTTGCCAATGGAATCCATCAAGCGAGCGACATTTGCCTCTACTCAAGACCCGGCAGGGGGGTGCACTAGCCGCTGCTGGCCCAGTGCGCTCACCATCACCATTGTCGCAACATGGAACTTGTGTATCCGTCAAGTAAGGACAGGCCGCGTTCTGCAGTCAAGGTACAGGCTGGGTACTCAGCCCACCAAGGAAGAACTGCAGGGCAGTAGCAGCACAACAGGACGAGACAGGAGACCATCTTTCCCCCAAGGATAGCGCCGTACGGTAGAACGGGAGTGGATCGGTTTCGTCCCTACAAAAACAATTTACGGCATTGTCAACCGTGGGAACAAACCACTCAAAACCAAAGGCACTTGTTCGTTGTTCCGGTTTCCTGTCACGGTGGGTGATGTATGAGCATGGCAGTGTGGACTTCTTCGTCGCAACGTCCAACATTGCCTGTTCGCGGACGCAAGTATATCCGTGTCTCTCCAAACGGGATGAGATGTCTTGCAGACAGATGCAGCAGCGGAAGGGCAATGGTCGGCGGCGAACCGAAAGTCGAGGGAGTGAACTTGTAACAATGTTACAGTTGAGACGGCGAGGGCCACGTTCGGGTGGCAGATCCACCAGCTACGGTCGAACTGGGACTGGGCTGGACCGGACAAAGCGGTTTTGCCCTTGATTGCCCGCCAATCCAGTCCTTGTCAAGGTTCGCGGCCGTGTGTCAAGTTTTGACGGATTGCCCTTCGTTCAAACAATTGGAAGCCGAAGCAATATGTCGGACTCTTATGATTGCAGAGAATAACCCGACGGAAGATATGGTAACCACGTCTGGTCCCGAACAAGCGGACGGCTGCATGGCTGTTTCTTTTCCCCACAGAAGAGAAACATGAAGCAAAGATATCGACGAGCAAGACAAGAACGGCACCGGCTGCTGAAAACGACGGGACAAAGGCAAGCCACCACAGATGAGGTTTGCCACATGCTGCCTGCTCCCGTTTCCGTTTCCCGTTGAGCAGCCACCAGCGAGTGCCCCTTGGTTCTCTTCTCATCAATCTTATCATAACAGCAAAATGAAAGCTATGGAGTCATGGAGACAAGAGGGAGACGAAGAACAAGGGGTAGAGACTGGGAATATGGAACTTTTCGCAAGAGTGGGAACAAGACGGAGAGGTGAGTGAGTCGATGGGCCCAATCATCGAATGACAGGGGAACGAACTATGGGATTTGAAAGGGAAAAGTCAAGGCCAAAAATATCCATGGAGATACCATCTCCCTACTCGGTGACAGCACTGACAAAGTTAAGCCATCCTTTTCCGGTACGATGCGGACGAGAGGATGGTCCGGTTGCCTACACAGTATTGTCGGGTGCAGCAGTTTTTCTGGCTGTTCGTCTCAGCATTTGGGCTGATTGGATTATGTTTTACAGTTTCTTTTCATCTATTACGGTTTCTTCATGTCCTTTGCTCAAGTTGTCAATGTCATCCTGTCAAAGTGGAAGTGGGCGGGCCCGGGCCCCGTGACTCGGAGACAAGCAATACCTTAGTAATTGGAAAGTTAGGGATACGGATAGACAATAGACTATTCATAAAGAGGGAGGAGGCAGGAAAAAGAGGCTCAGAGGGATACGGTGAAGGTTAAATGGATTATGGAACGAGGTGAGGGACCGCCCGCTATCGGGTGCTTTCCCGGGCTGGGCCCCCGGCCGGAAGTTGTCATGTAAACCTCGCCCATGCCCAATGCTTTTCCAAATTCTCCATACCGCAGTGCAGTCGGTGTATGGATAGGTCACAGGCTATCTTGTTACGCGCGGGTCGGGTTGGGTAACTTGGAGTCTGGCTGGGTATTGCCCACCTCGTCCTCACACTATCGCGCGCAAGTGGTGCTTTTGCTTCTGTGTTGTCTCGCGGCCACCGTTCGAATGTCTTCGCCCTTTTGGCTTCCTTCTGCCCCCATGTGGCACCACGGCTGCGTGACTGTGACTGGCCCTGACTGATCCAACCCAACCTAACCCACAATCACATCTCATACGAAGCAGGACGCCAAGCACCGTCTTACCAGTCGACTGTCTTACTCCATCAGGCCTCACCTCGGTCTTCCATTCTGGGTTTCCCCTCTGGGTTTCCCCTCCAGAGCAGGGCTGGGCCGACATCAAGCGTCCATGTCTTTGGCGGCGGCAACCGCGCAGAACAGAATAGAACTGAACAGCACAGCGCAACGCAGCACATCACAGACTCAATGATTGGGGGTTACATCTTTTACACCAACATTGTCACTTTCTCTTCATCCTGTCTGGCTTACTCTATCCGTATCTTGCTCTTTCCTGAGATGATGCTCTCTCTTTAGCCATCATGGTACAAATACTGGTACTGACCGACTGGACTGGAGTGGTCGCCTTGGTTTCTGAGTTTCTGTGCAAGGTACAGCAACACCGACGGTCCCCTTGGTTGATTTCGCACACCCCGACCACCCCTGTCGCTTCGGCCAAAAAGGTCAGAGGTACAAGAAGTACAGGCACCAGGCGTCCGCCAGAGTGACCAGACCCCCGGCCATGGTCGTTGCTCCAGCCAGTCAGAGCATCCGCTGGCCCTTGAGATCGTACCCAGGGTGGGTCCCCTTCTTCCTCTTCTGCTCAGTCGCTCCCTCCCTCGTCCCCTTCCCTCCTTCGCTCTGGAGACTGAGCCGATGAACTCAGCAAAGTACACGCCAAGTACCCGTTATTGGCCAGGCGTGACACCCTGTCTCGCATGGGGGTGGGTACACGATCAGGTACATGTTACGGGGAAAAGCCACAGCGGTTGTTAGCAGTAAACCCCCATGGCTCCAGCGGGCTTTAGTGGTCTCTTCAGCGAGCTTTCAGTTGAACACACCATCGCTCCAAAGTACCACCGCTTGTACCAGCACTAATTACTACCGGTGGGTGGCCCTGCTGCGGTCCGGCCTGCCTGGGCTCTCTCTCACCTCACTCCTCAGTCCCCTCTGCTCTCTCTCTCTCCAAGTCCCACGGCCCATTTCTCTTTTGGCTGGGGACCTGGGCTGGGCTGACTGGCTGTGCAGCCTGTGCTTCCTTTCCGCTACTCTCCTCTTGTCCCCGATCTCGACTTCCTTCCCTTCACCACCCTCACCTTCACCTCTTCCTTACCCTGTTGTCTACAAGGCTTCCTCTCTCGCTTGTTTACCTACTGCGGTGAATCATTCTTTACATCTTTCTTCAGACGAAAGGGATTCCTCGAGCCTCAAACCCCAACGCCCGTCCTCGTCCATTCACTTCTTGCGAAGCCGGAAGAACCCACATTCAACCTCGCCATGGCAATCTGACGTCCTGCCTACCCGCCCCATAATCCGCCTGCGAGAATAATAGACGCAACTCAACCACCAAAACTCAACAACCGCCTCCTTTTGTCCTCCGACACCCCCGACTCGACATTCGACTCTACACTTGTTCAACTCTTCGCTCTATTCGAACTATTTGCTCGGAAGGCGAAAGCTGAGCCGGAGCATGCGAGGTGCAACCGGCCATCAACACAGCCGATTCGCGTGATCCGAGAAAGCGAGAGAGAGAGATAGACCCAATATGCCTTCTTCACTCAAAGTTCCGGAATCCGGCCTCATTCTTGAGAGCTCGGCCGCCTCGGGAAATCCTGTACCACCACAGGCTTTCTGCATCAACCTTTCTGATCATGTACTCGAGGACATGATCAAGTGTGTACAGGGTGGTGAGGACCTCCAACTGTCCTTGGGGAGCAGCCCGGTAAGTCCTACGCAACGCCCTTATTTGCCGATTTCCCTTGAACCCCCTCGAACAATTCACTTGTCCTCCCGACGGGAAGAGCTGGCACTTGTACCTGTATGCAAGGCGAAAAAAAAAAGCAGTGCACCGCTGCCCGTCTGGGACATCTGCTGCCGTCCGATGCCTACACAAACGACTCCCGCCCGCTAGCGGAAGCGCTGTTCGTTGACATATGCTAACGCTTCCTCGCTACCAAGACATTGCTCTACGGCTCCAATTCCCACACCCTCTCTCCGATCTCCGCGACATTCTCACACGACCTCTTCCTCACGAAACCATTCGAATCCACGAAACGAGCCACACGACTACCACAAACCTCATCACTATGGAAGAAGCTGCCCGGCTCCGAGGCTCCCAAGAAGGGCGAGCAAGCCAAGGCAAAGGGTGCACCTTCAACCTCGTCGTCCGGTATGGACTCAGATATAGAGAATCTGCAGAACTCCATCGCAGCGGCGACGGCATCGAAGAAGCAGTATGTTGACAGTGTCTGGGTCATGGTGGTCATGACACAACTAACAATGGCAATAGATCAAAGGTCATGGATAGGCCGCTGCCGGGCACCAACAAGAAGCCCACGGGAAAGACGGCCAAGTCCAAGTTGCTGTCGAGCATGGCGTCATATGGCAATGGTGGCGGCAAGTCATCGCCCTCAGGGTCGCCGGCTCTGGTAGCCGTCAGCTCACCGTCGATAAATCCTGTCTACGCTTCTTCGCAACAGATCGTCGAGAAGTCCAAGGAGCAAAGATCTATGATTGTACACGAACTAGCGGTGCAGGAGCGGCCGGCCGACTACCTGGAGAGCCTATGGGAAGGCAAAGACGAAGATTTCAAGCCTGCCCTGGAGAAGGTGGCCCAGTTCGAGTCAGATGCGCAAATGTGGGCACTGAGGAAGAACTACTGGAGAGAGTTGGACGTGTGGAAGTACGAATATGATACCCAAGATACCCGACAGAAAGCGATCGACAACGCAATCCGTCAATTCGACAAGATGCGGCTGGCAACAACGGAAACCGAGTGGCAGAAGCTTTTGCCGCGGGAAGAGCGAGGAAAGGGCAAGATCCTCAGCAAGCTGCAGGCAAATATTGCCAAGGCCTCCGCCGCACCACCTCCCAAGATCAAGGTCAGCGACGCAACAAGCGACAACGGCGACGAAGACGTTCTCAAGATGAAGGGCGGCGAGACAATGTCACGATCATCATCGAACCCGTTACCGCCGAAACCAAAGAAGGCTGCCGACTCTCAGGTTAAGCGTCTTTTGTCTACGAATAGGAAGCCCGCGACTCCCAAGGCTGCGCCAACGAAAGCAAAGGAAAAAGCACCTCCCGCTAGCAAGAACGGCCGGGTTCTCTCTGCAGAATTTGTTACCAACTCAGACTCTGATTCAGAGTCTTCGGAGGACAAGCCGATGGCGAGCATTGTGGCTTCCAAGCCCAGACCAGCGCCTGCGGCTGCCCCTGCCCCCAAGAGAAAGATCGAACATGCACTTCCACCAAAGCCGAAGATCGCCGTGCCCAAGCCAAAAGCCAGACCGGTCGAGAAGCCTGTAGAGAGGACAGTGGAGAGATCAATTGAGAGGCCCAAGGCAAAGTCGCCTCAACCTCCACGAGAGACTGTCAAGGCGGCTAAACCGCAGCCTGCCAAGCGACAGAGGGAAGAAGAGGCAGACGACAGTAGCTCAAGCTCTGGCGCCCCACTGGCCAAGCGTGCGAAGTCCAAGGCGCCCATCAAGGCGCCCGTAAGCCTCAAGCAACGGCCCGCAGATACCTCACATGCATCATCCCGCAACTCATCCGGCGTGTCTCTCAAGAGCAAAAATACATCACCGGCTAAGTCTTCGCCTTTGGCTTCGTCGCCGCCAACGAATGCGTCGGATCTTGAACACCCAGCACCGCCCAAGAAGCGCAAGGTTATGGAATCTTCCGACTCCAACGAGAGCGCCCGGACCAAGCAAGCCCCTAAGCGTCAGCGCGGGCTCAGCCCCGACCTGGTCAGCAAAGCCGCGCGTTTCAAGGCGTTCTACGAAAAGTATGAGGCTCTGCACTGGGAGATTACAGACATGCGCAACCCACCAGAGGACAAGATAGCAGATCTCCTCGACATGCGCCAGCGACTGAAGAGTCTCAAGATTGAGATTTACAAGGAATGCCCGCCCCCGAACAGCATCCCCAGCAGCGCCCCCATCGCGGTCGCTTAGGGAGGGACCGAGGCGGACAATTTCAAACTGCTTGACTGGCCGCTTGACAAGAGCAACGTATCAACGAAGAAGACGGCGAAGGAAGCCCCAGCCAAAAAGGCTAAGGCGAAGAAACGTGTTTTGGGATTTCTTTGGAAAAAGCGATAATTCTTCGGGACATCTCAAGAGAGTCCTCGACAGGACGGCCACTTGAAAGCATCAGCAACAGCGAAATGATTTTTTCACTTTTTTTTTTCTTCTTCATTTGGGCTGGGATTGCATCAAAGGGGACGGAACGGGCATTGGCGACCAGCATATAGGATTGCATGGACTCTGGAGAAAAAAAACCCAACTAACTGGAACACCGTGGATACGGGCCAGCAACTCTTGTCGTTGGAGATACTCACTTTCTTGTCTTCTTCATTTTGATTGATACCAGGTGGGTAGTCAGCTACACAGAACAGAACAGTATCCAAGTGAAAGTCATTTGAACGATTACATTGCCTGAATAATTGGTTTGAATTGAAGCGATTTGCCCTTTGTGATACCCCCCGTACTTGGGTCGACACTCGACAGCAATGATGCTGTATAGCCGTACGAACACGGCAGACGAGGCGTTTAATCATGCAGAGGGTATAAACGTCGCGTCCCCGTCCCCTGGCTGGAGATTGCAAATCCTTGGCTGTTTGTCCTGTCGACAACGGCCGTGCGCCTACTCCTTCATCTCTTCATCTTCTGGATCATACGGGGCGAGTACAGATACCTTTTTGGCATGCGACAGATGATTGGCATACACGACAGGTTGCTGCTTGTCATGACTAGGATAGCCTGTGTGAGATATCGGCTTTGCCCATTTGGTAACTTTTCTAAACTTGCCTTTGCGTCGTGACATGGAGTTCTCAGGTTGCTTGTGCTTCCCATCCGTTCCGCAGGACAGGACTAGCGGGGCTTCTACACTACTTGGGTTGGGAGGTGAGGTGCGACTCCACCAGAGCTCCCCGCAATTCATTAAATGGGATTTTGGGAAATTTGTTCGGGAGCAAAGCAAGAAGATACGTCAGCGGAAATGGATTGTTCTAGTGTTTCTCTTGTTTTCTTTTTGTTTTGAAATCAGAAAGACGAGCGCTTGGGTACCCTGTCTTTTGGCAACGAGATAGCTTCTACTAGGTACCTTACTTACCTGAGCATCATTTCCATTCCTCTCGCGTCAAACACCGGAATCAGTTTTCTTTGGGTGGAAGAACCTATCAAGAAGCTGCGCGGCTGCGTACGAGTAGGTACTCAAGTCTCAATACCACACGTTTGATTCAGTTCTAGATTGTTGAAGATGGTGTGGGGAGCCAACAAACCAAGGATCTTACATATCCTCATGTCTCTCGATTTTGTTACTTTCTTTCTTTCTTTCCTTTTTTTTCGCCATCCCAGATTTAGTTTTCCCTGCAGGCAAACAAGCAACAATTGAAAGAATGATTTAAAACCTTACTTTGCCCAGTACAAAGATCTTGGTAGGAATGAGGGGGGGTGGACCTAAGAGGTGATGCAAACTTGCGTGGTTTGCTTGCCTGCGCCTATACCCTGCAGCAGTCAGCCACGCCCAAATGAAGTAAGGGAAAACTCTCAAAGCAAAGCAAACCGCATTGAACTATACGCCACCAAATAACGCCAGTGAGAATATCTTCCCTTCTTACAAGGCGCCGATGGAAGGCGTGTATCCGAGGTTTTGCGTTTCCTTGTAAGCATCGCAAGCAAAAGAGAAGGGAAGCTTTGGATGGGGTCACTTTCGTCTGCAAAATCCTCCGGTGTGTGCTGGCAGGTGAACCGTGAAACTTACCTTTCCTATTCCCGTACCTATGAATACCTTACTAGCGGGGCCGGAAGGTGTGGGAGGTGGAGGAATCGGGTTTGCCAAGCTAAACCGACCATGCTCCAAACCCCACACGTACGCCGGCTCCCGGCCAGCCCGCCATTGGTTTTTAGCCTTTCCCGGGGTCGGGGGTTGTTTAGATGGTGGCGGTTGCCACTGATGTCCGATGTTGCAATGTCACGAAACTTTCGTTGGAGATCCCACGTCATCCTCATCGGCTATGCCGCTGCGATGTGATGTCAAAAACCCAAAGAGGATCTTTGATGGGATGAGTTGGAAATCATGAGAAATGGAAAGAGCTAAGATGGTATTCGTGTTCCAATGCAAGATGCTGCAGCGTAGTGGTTTTGTCTGCTTGTGTCGAAAGGGTGTCAAGTTCCAAGTGATATGCGCTGGAGACCAAGCTCATTCTAGAAGCTCGTCAAGGAAAGGGTTGGTTTCCCTTGAGAGAGGTCTCTTGGGGGCTTGTTTGCGTGCGTGGCTCCTTCTTTTGTCATGAGGTACTCTGAAAGAGGAAGAGGAGGTAGGCAGGTAACGGTCCAGTACCTGAGCCTTTCAATGTGAAGAAGAACGACAACTGGGCAGTATTACATTTGCAAAGAAGAGTGGGAACTTGCAAGGTGAAGGAAAGGCACAGAGCAGATTGTCTCTTCAGTCCAACTGAAGGCCAAGCTGCAGAAATCGATGTGCAGACTCCCGTTCCTTGACAACTCAAGGCTTCTTTCACACGATGAAGGCTCAAGACGGCATCAAGCCCAAGTGGATATCAGAATCGTTCGCAGGATGGAAGGTGTCTCCAGCCATTCAAATATGGTAGATACGTCCCCCAGATCACAGAGCCGAGCTGAAGACTCTTGAGCTTCTGCAGCATCGAAGAGAAGCAGTTCTGCGCTCCTTTTACAAGCCAACACATCCAAGCCGTTTGTCACCACGTACAACAGTAACAGTCATCGTTTCTTTGGGCAATGTCTCGCAAACTGTACGATCCTCCTTTCCACTACAGCCCACGACGGCCCTACCTAGCGCGATACCCGTCGCCCTCGGCGCTTGAGATCGAGGCATATCTAGCGTCGTTCTCACACGTGCACGACCGCGCATCCTCACCGACCATGAGCCCCCCATCGAGCGGCCGACACCGGGAGGAGGATCATGAGGCCAGGGAACGCGGGGTCTGGCGACGGGAAGCAAGCGGAGGCGAGACGGAGCACGTCTCGCAAACCGTAGGAAACCTTTCGCTCGTCCGCCAGGCCCCGCGGGACCCCAAGGCTCTTGTCCGCTCTCGCCAGTATCGCCTCATTCAAATCAGGCTGTTGCTAGTCCAAGTCCATGACCAGCTCAAAATTGCACACGAGGTCTACAACACAGCGTTCGAGAAGTTCCTGAAACAGGTGGCGGAAACCAGCAAATCTGCCAGCCCAGCGACACAGGATAACATCTGGGTCGACATGCTGTCGACGGATGCAGAGAAGGGCAAGAAGGAGGCGACCAAGAAAAGGCTGCCGCCACCGATTGACTTTGATACGGTTATGGCGCAGGTGGAGACATGCTTGCAATCACTCGAAGGCGCTCAAATGAAGTACTCGCCGCTAGCTTCCGGTTTTGACGACACATGCCCAGACGCCGAGGGCCACTTCAAGGTAGTCATTGACGCTGTCAAGGAAATCGTCGACCTGGCCGCAAAGGCCCCGAAGGAGAATCTCGTTTGTGAGGATCTAGTGGCGCGCCTTGATAGAGCTCGGGGTTTGGCCGATACCACTTCCCACGTCTGGAAAGCCGTGCTGTGGAAGTTGCCACCTAGAGATATTTGGCATGTAGACGATTCGCAGGATCCGAACAACAATGGCGAGGGTGGACAAAACAACGAATAGTCAGGATATGGGAATGATTCGTAGGTGATATGGTAGGCGGACGTCAAATGTGAAGGCGTCGTCGATCGATTCTTGCTGAAAACTCTGTCGGAACGGTTGGTGTGGAAGGCGGGGATTGATGTGTGCGGCCTTATTGTCGGTCAAGAAGGTTGGAGCTTGAGGTGAAGTACGGCAGGCATAGACTCCATTGTTAGGGGGCACATTTGTTTGTTAGTAGTATCCTTGGTCCATAGAATCCAAAGCGCAAAAAAAGATATTTATCTTACCTGGGAAGAAAAAAAGTGAAGCACCGTCCTCAACAGAATGATCGGAATTGAATTGTCAAGTCCCTGGCCAGCCAAAGCCAGCCAGGATCCAGACGCTGCGTATCGCACTCAAGTGCTCTGCACAATCTTTTCGCAACGGCTCTCCCATAGGGACACCGAGTCCAGACCTCATCTTCCCCCTCCTCCCAAAGGGAATCAGTGTATACATGAGGACGGCCCGGGCCCTGCTTTTCTGATGCCAATTGCAGACGTGAAGTCACGCCAGACCCTCGCGGGCAGACCCGTCATCCCGCACTAGGCAGGCGACATTGGGTGAGTGGTGTGAAGAAGTTACTCCGAATTTCTCATATGCCAGTTTGATAGAATGAGAGACTTCCGCTTGCGCGTACATCTCTCCGTTTGTAGCATAGAAACGCAGCGTTGAAGAGGACGGTGCTTGAAGAAGGAAAAAGAGAAGAGGAGTCAGACTCTGCGCGGAAATTGGCGCTTTATATATGAATTTTTGTGACGTGGGGTCGCAAGGGTCTTTGGCGGCAGCCTTGCAAATGAGGCTAACCAATCAGTGAGCTAGACTGGCAGGTACCTTTGGGGGAAAGACCCCTCGAAGTAACCCCCCACCTGCCAGATCTGGACCCCATGTTTTATGGGTCCCGGAGCTTCGATAAGGATCCTTATCGGCCTGCCGCAATGGTTCTTGCGTGAGGTCCCATGGTTTTGTTTTGGCGATGGGGTCTTTGGGCAGGTCCAGACCGCCACACAAAATTTACGTGGCGCTGAGGCAAATGTCCCTTTTCTTACTTTCTCGCATATTCTTCTAGTCAACACCATTCCTTTATCTTTTCCTCATTTTCACGCATTTTCTATGGATTTAGGTGATCATAGTAGACAACTGCACGTAGACTCTTCATCCGCAACCATGATACTCGAACCGAAAGATTTCCCGCAGATGTGGCAGAAACCGTCGAGTGAAGACTTACTCAGCACACTGAAGCAACTGGAACTCAGCCCTCCGGTATGGAGTCACAAACGAAGACGGTCTGATATTGTTCATGAGCAAGAGTCAACGGCATATTTTCGGCGCGAAGTAACGATGTACTTATCATCAATCATCAAGAGCGGTCTCTCTTGGATCGAGGACGACGATGAAAAGGAGGAAGTCTGGTCAGAGGCTAGCCGCAGGATGACGGAGCGATGTGGAAGAACAGGTATTTGATGACCAGGCTGCTATGTTTTCCGAACTGTGCAGCCTCTGACGCAGAGTATAGCCATGGGCGAGATCACCCGGCGATGGCCCTTTAGAGAAGAGGACCTCACACCGACCTTTGAGCTCATCATCCGAGAGCCACCCCTGACTGGTGACTCACTTGGTCTCAAGACATGGGGTTCTTCTTACGTTCTCGCCAAGCACTTGCCATCTATCGGTTCAACGGCTCTCTTCCGGCTCTTTGATGAATCTCTGGGCGAGCCGCGGCCATCCGTATTGGAGTTGGGTTCTGGCACAGGCCTACTTGGACTTGCGGCGGCTGCTTTGTGGAAGTCTCATGTGATTCTCAGCGATCTGCCAGATATCATGTCGAATCTTTGCCACAACGTGGACGCCAACCGTGCCACGGTGGAGAAGCTAGGAGGTTCATTGAACGCCGGTGCACTTACTTGGGGTGGCTCAGGGGATGACGAAGTTGACCAGAACCTCTTTGGCAAAAGAAACCAGTTCAAGGTACGTGACAGTCGAGTCTCTCTACAGAGAGACTGCTAACATGGCTCATAGGTTGTCCTCGCTGCTGATCCCCTTTACGACGACTGTCATCCAGGACTTCTGGCAGGAGCTTTCTCTGAGCAGCTATCAACCGAAGACGATGCCCGCGCAGTTGTAATGGTCCCACTGCGAGACGAAACTACTAAGAACCTTCTCAAGTCTTTCCGAGGTGCTATGGGAAGCCAGGAAAATACTCTAATTTGCATCGAGGAAGGAACACTCGATGGCCAGGATGACTGGGGTGAGGACGAGGAAGGCACCAACGTGACTTGTTGGTGGGGGATATTTGCACGCGAGCAGCAAACATAAATACCGATGGAGCAATCGATGAAGTGAGCGAGCTTGGAGACGGCTTAAGACATAAACTAGACGAAAGAGAATGAGTAGGCGCGCGTCCGCCAATTAGACTTAGATCTAGACAAAACAGAATACAATGATAGATGACTCGGATGCCCTGACAGGCGACAACCAAGTGCGGCCTATTTCACCGTCCATCCCAACTTATTGCTCGTCGCGTCCCGTCGCGTATCCAGCTCACGACGGGAGGCTCCTTCCCCTGGGAGAACCTCCTTCCACCTTCCGTATGTATCTGCGACTATGATTCACTGCCTTTCCCAGAACCCCCCGTTGCTCCTTCCTACCTCGACAAAGTCGTGGATCACTTTTTTTCCGCCTTTTCCCCTCGATTTCTAGCTTCCTTCACATCTTCTTTTCTCCTTCTCCCACACTCGCCCAAATAACCCAATCCGACCACAATTCACACGATACACGATACACGATACACGATACACGACCCCTCGGTATGCACATAAGATACCTGCAAGTACAGCGAACAAACGACTAACCTTCAGGATGGTTGGCCAAATCACCTACACCGAGGAAGAAATCATCTTCATCCTCCAGCACAGTCTCACCAAGGAGAAGAAGCAACAAGACACCTTGCGCGAGTACCAGGAGCGATTCAGCAAGCCCCTCACCATGGCTCAGCTGAGATACGTCAGAGCCAAATACGGTCATGACCCTGAATTCGGGTAAGTTTTCCCTTAATGGGCCCTTTGACTACTATTTTTGGCCTATGCCTCCCTTATTCCCTCTTTCTTTGAAGACAATTAAAGAGTCCCATTTTCTGACAATCTTTTGGCAGTACGGCAATGATCAATGGACAGGTCCCGGACAATGGCGGTAATAGAAAGACCGCAGTTCCATCTCAATGGCAGTGAGTCGGTCTCACACCTCAGGAAACGCGACAAAGTTACTAATTTCAACCAACATAGGGAAGTAATGGCTATGCCAATCCAGTCCCCGAACGATCAAAGCGACCAAGCCTTCACACCACCCACGAACGAGGATGAATCAGCTTCGGAGCATCACATGCTGCAGATTCTCGCCAGTCACGTATACGATTCTCCCGCAGAGATTCCCGAGAACCTGACTTTGTCCCCCGAGAAGGTACAACAGCAGAATGACGTCTCACAGGATGAAGTCTCAGAGGATGAGCAAGCGGGCATCGACGCAGAGGAGTATGCTGCAGCACACGAGAAAATCCTGCAGATGTTCCAGATGAACCCCGACCGCCCTTATGGTGAACAACCTGTTCAGCAATACTACGAGCAAATGCTGTATCCTTCTGCAGTGCAGAAGAGAAAGCGGGATGAGCTCGAGGAATCGAGTGAATGCTCAGACTCAGAATCATTTGCTTCCGTGGTTGAGGTTCTTCAAGAGAGCATTCCAAAGCGTCTGAAGACCCAGTCGCAGGAGACGTCCTCCCAGAAGGAGCTCATTCAGTATTCATCCCCGACGCCGAACAACTACGTATCCCAGACGACTGGACATGACGAACACACATTGAGCCTACTCGATGCGGATATCCCCGAAGTCCCCAGCACTCCCAAGAATCTGGATATGGGCGCATATCATGTGCAGGCAGAGAGGGATCTCAGTGTGTCACCCCTGACCAAGCTTCTCAATAGTATCGACAATGAGTATCCTCATGAACCAACAACTGACAGCTCATTCTTTACACAGCTCGATCTTCAAATGGACCCATCTGGATATAGCGCCGTCAACTTCGACAATGCTGTGTTCCAGGAACCCAATACATCAGCTGTTCCCACGTGGGCAGGAACAGATTCAACGATGTTATCTGCGAGCCCGAGCCTCAACTTCTCCCAGTCCATGTCATATGCACCATGGCAAGCACCTCACAACGAGGCAGAGAGAAACTTCTGGGGCACTCAGTCAGACACCTGGCAGGGCGCAACTGGGTACGATACCGCGCCGGGTTTCGACTTCGACCCGCTCGTTCCACCGTATCCTCAAACCTGTGCACCTTTTGCCTACGCTGAGGTGATGGCCAGCGCCGGCGGAACATACGAAGGCTCGGAAGCCTTCAATTCAATGCAGCAACAAACCGAAGGCCAGAACATCGCCAGCTTCTCTGGCGACATGAGCAACATCGACTGGAACAGTATGAACAACAGCGGTTGGGAAGAACTGTACCTGCCCAGTGCAGAGCCACAGGGCCACGACGACTATTCTCAACAGTTCTTTGGTCCTCTCGAGTAGAGAGCTACGATACGCGTTTTTCCTTCTTGCATACCATCTCTGGGTCACGGTTTCCACACAAGCATATCTCTGTTACCTGGAGCACGACGAAGCATTACACAATACCTTGCCTACTTTCCGACACGATACCCCCCCTCTTTCCCCGCCGCGGGCTACGCGCCTTTTTGTTTTCCAGCAAATTCCTCCTTTTCGGCAAACTCCTCTTCAGCAATGAACTCACCATATTTGGACCTTCGGTATGCGAGCACGGTAGCTTGCAGTTAGATAGATAGGTAGTTTGGTGGTCATTGCGACATAAGCTATAAAATGATTTCCTTCCAGATTGGCCACAATATCCATTGTGACATGTAATGTAACGAACGACGCTCCCAGCCTCCCTTGATCTCAGCGAAATTGAAAAGAAATCGCAAAATTTTCTAGCCTCCCATTGTCCAAGCTCCCGGCGCCGAAATCCGTCCACGATGGGTATCTAGTGCAGTAGAAACGAACAGACGGGCGCTCTCCTCCAGGTATGATGTTTGTTGTTTTGCATGTTGCTTGTGTGTATGTATGTGTGTGTGTGTGTGTATGTGTGTCTGCGTTTGTTTGGAACTCTGGCCTCTCAAGCAGAACTTTCCTCGCAATAAACCCGCCCGCTTTGTTCTCCCTTATGAGTGTGGTGTAGTAGGATATAACAATAGTTTCTTGAAGAAATCAGAGAGCAATGCAGATGAAGAAAAAAAAAATGAAACAAGATTTGAAGGGAAATAGGCTTTCAGACCACTATAGTTGTTGATTTTCTCGACTCGCCCTCCTCCGGTGGGAAGCCAAACACGAGCCTGTACAGTTCGCGCAAGAAGACATACTGGCTGGATCTTTGGCTCATATAGTGGACGCTCTTAGCCAGGTCATGCGCCGAGATACGTTTTCCACGGGCCGGCAGCAGCGAAGACCCCCTAAACGACGAGTCGGCGTGTACAAGGTTCTTGTAGTGTTGTAAAAGCGTCGAGTGTGCAGGTAAGGACCCAAAGGATCCCGTGGGCATATGCTTGACAAATGCTTGGAGGGCCGACTTCTCGGCTTTACTGTCAAGAGCCGGGTCTCGAGTAAAGCCGACGTTCATGGCAGCCTTGATGATGAGTGCTTTGATGCGGTTGCTGTTGCTGTCCTCGCCTGCCGTGGTCGTTGTTGCTGTGCTGGATGTCTTGTTACTGCTTTGCGAGTAGCTCGACAGCTGCGAAGCGCTGCTTGACCACCGGCCTCCACGCCCGCTATCTGACGTTGTGCCAAGAACGAGGATGTTTGGCACTCGAGGCGAGGAGCTCTCTGGGGAAATTGGTGTGTCTTCAAATTCCGTCACAGGAGTTTCAGGAACTGGTGGTGGCTTTCGTGGGCGCTCTTCGGTCAGGCTTTTGTGACTTTCCCTCTTTGAGTAAGACGATCGGTTCGACGCTCTACTTTCACCTCGCGCAGGTTGATCATACTGCTGCTGGTGGCCGAAGAAGCTTGTCTGGCTCGGTCGCGGAGTGTTTCGGTCTGGCCGGACTTGGGTCCACCCGTCTCTGAAAAGGTCGCAAAGCTCCCAGCATGCCTGTACCGCTGAACAGAGAAGCTCCTCGTCAGGCGCTCTTCCGTCACGCTTGTTCTGTCTCAGACTGAAAAGCATCTCGGCAAGCGACCAACACGCCTTCAGCAAAGAGTCCGTCTCATCGGCCAACTCGCTTCGCTGCTTCATCAATCGATGACAAAGAGTGATGTAGAAATCTAGGGTACGCTCGCGGAAGGGCTCCGGGAGGTTCTGGATATCCTGAGCGCTATAGAGACTGGAACACGGTCAGCTAATTTGTCCAACATTTTTCGATCTCTGGAATGGCTCACTGGTTGTTCAGTTCAAAACTGACTCTCAAAACAGAATCAGCAACCTCGTCTTTCCTCTGGCGGACGTCGAAGAGGGACTGGCAAAAATCCCGGCAATGATCGAGGTTCTCTCGTACGTGGTGATCATAGTGGTCTTCGTCGCGGTTGTCATACAGGCGTTGGCAAAGCCTCCAGCACGCCATCCAAGCTTTTTCGTGAGCATCAGGGGTGCCTGAGCTGTTGAACATCCGTGTTCGATGATTCGAGCTCAAGTTGGCCAGCGTGTTACATAAAGTCCAGCACTCTTGGAGAGCGGTTCGTAGAGCCCTGATTTCCGAATCTTCTTGAGGTAGGGCGGGAGTGGCAAACGGCTCTTCATCGTAGTTTTCGGTATCGGTCTCTACTTCTCTAGCCTCGTCGATTTCTGTTTCGTGTTAGACTTCTTAGTCTTTGGATGAGAATCTGGTATATACAAACTTTCAAGGCTACTTGTGCTGCTAGACCTAAGCCGAGATGACTCATTAAGCATGTCGTGAAGGTCTTGCGCGCGCGGGGTGGCGCTGTCCAAGCTGTATCGAACGGGTCTGATATCTGTCGAAAGGGGAGGTGGCGTAGGTAGCCCAGGGGATCTCGACTGTTCTAGTTCAGTATTTGAAAAGCCTTAGGTGAAGCCTTGGAGCAGCCGTACCTTGATTGCATGATCTGTGACGGATGGAAGACTCATGGTATCTGTCTTGGGTGATGATCTCGTGCTACTTTGATCTGGCCTCACTGTCGGCTCCGTAGAAGCCTGGCTCAAGTTCAGTCTTTACTCATTTGGAAAAAAGGTTCCATGAGATGCTTACCCAGCTGTGAAAGCTTTCTGGCGCATGGATGACTGATACAGCTTCTTCACTACTACTCTGCCGCAGATGATCGGGAATGTTGGTCGAGAGCATCATGAGCTAGAAGAGTCAGTCACGTTGCCTGCCTCTCAAATGACATGAAGAAGACAAACTTGGGGGTGGGGTGCCGGATTGGTAAGATTAGGCCGGGCCTGGACCTCCTCTGCCTCTTCGTCCTCAATTTCCGTCGTCTCAGTACCAGTCGAGGTGACTGGTGAAGGTCCAACAATATCACTCGGGCTCATCAAGTTCAAGTTCGTCGAGGGAACCCTCTGAATGGAGTTGGGACGTAGGGAATTGCGGCCGGAGTGATCTGAGGCGTTCGAAGACCTATGCTCATATGTAAGCTTGGATACTACAACGACACGGTATGACCATGATAGCTTACATGCTGGCGAAAGATGATTGAAAAGAGCCGTTATCGGGAGACGAGACAGACATGTCGTTATGATGGGAATAAGTAGATATTTGGCTTCCGATAGACGACCGGAGGGGGGCTTCGAGTGCCATCGTAAGTCTATCGACTCGTTTGTATGCGACAACCTTCCGGCACTGACACAGGTAGCGATGGAAGTCGGACGGGCAGTCCAGCAGACTGGTATTCGGCGGTTGTCAATCCAGAGAATGCCTCGGGAGCCCCACGTAGTTTGCTTTCTGGTCGGTTGGGTCTGCTGCTGGGCCGCACTGGCTAAGTGGTGTTGGTCGTGATCCTAGAGGCCGTCGAGGCGAAGGAATAAAGCAGTGCTGGAAGGTCTCGTAGACGACGGCCCGGCGATCATCAAGCTTCCAGACTAGCAACAGCAGGCTCGAAAGTGAAGAAGCTCGAGAGCGAGAGGGTGGGGAGGGCAGTTTAAGAGGAGCTGTGCCTACTGCTACCTCAGTGCTGGGAAGAGTAACAGTACGGAGACCGGGGGGGGGGGGGGGGGGCTCCAGGCCGACCCTAGCTGACCGTGTCTGTGCCTCGCTCACGCGAAATATCGACAGGGCCAGGTTTGGTTTCGCTGCGTCGCGGTGGGTCTCTACTCGCAGCAGGGGTACCCAAATAGCGATCCTGACGATTGAAGGGTAAATATATGGGGAAGACGAGTTGGATGGACCTGGGGGCAACGCGACTACCGCCTTGATGGGAGAAATTGGGAGGATGTCAGAGAGCCAGATCAGGCTGAGAGCTGTGCGCCTGTCTCTGCGACTAAGCTTAGGTAGGTATGCTGCAATATGCTCGTCTCTTGGGAAGGGCGGTTGAGAGAGAGCTGCGGCTAAGATTCAACCAAACGGGTGACGAGCACGGCTCCACCGATAGCTCCGTCGTCTATGCGATCTCGGGCAGCCGGGGAAGAGAAGCGAAAGTTGACAGAATGGAAGAAATAAAGTCGACAGACAAGAAAGTAGCCGACAGCTGATTTGAGACGATGCGGTTGATGTGGATGTCTAACCTCCACAGTACAGACACAGGTGGCACAGAGGCGGGCGGTTCGGTGGTACGGGTAAAGAAAGAGGCCAACCCTCCAACGGAACGGCGAAGAATTGTTATGGTTGCAAGGAAAGGAAACCAGCGGCGATAGAAATCTGTGTTCACTGTGCTTCTCAACGAGCAAGACAAGATGGATTCGAGTTGTGGAGGAGAGTCAAGTCAGAAATGTCAGAAATTTGTGTATCGTCTGAATGGTTGACCGAGTTCCGCTCCGCCCTATGGACAGGCACCTCACATGGTAATGAATCAGAAGGGGGGGGCGCCGAAATGGATCGTCGTAGCGTTCGCTGGCAGTCGAGCAGAGGAGAGTGATCCGACAGGACGAAGGGAAGAAGGCTAAGAAGTCAAGTCGTTGAAGTAGACAAGGCCGAGGTGCTCACGAAGAAGAGAGCTCCACGGGGTGGGATCCAATCCGCGAGCTGCTCCGGCCGCACCTCAGTCGGACACAACCACCATTTTTTGCGCATTCTTTTTTCCCAAGCCAGGGTACTCCACGAACCTGAGCCGGGTTAAGGCAGGCACCGGGCAGCATATAGAAGGCGATGGATGAACCAGTCAGAGATGCAGCTGCGCGTCTTCTCCCATGGACATAGCAGCGCACCTCCCGACGGGTTCAACCACTCAGAGTTGGGCACAAGGTGGTGTCGGTGGATGAGAAGAGGGACGTCGAGCTGTGGGCTGCATGAAGCAGACAGGCGTCGGCGCTTAGCAAAGGTGGGTCTCGCTTCATCCAGTCGTGCCAGTGAACCACAACCAACCCCTGCACATGACGGCCCCACTTGGGATGGAGGGGCTTGCCTTAAGCTTGGAGGGGTGATGAAAAGGCAAGGGGCGCCCGGCCAAGAAGGAAAGATCCAGGGCCACCACTGCACCGGAGGCAACAGCAGGGAAGGGAACCTACCTCAGCTTCAGATGTACCGTGTATCTCGACCACCGTCTCTTTCCTGGACTTGCTGCTTGCGGAACTAAATGTCAGGTGTAGAGTAGGTATCCGTATAGAGTACCTAGGTAAGGTAGGCATGGAAGGAACGTATCTGACCTCGGGTAGCGAGACTGCCCTAATTGACATTATGGTGGTGGCATTGAGGAGTTGTATTACACCTCAATTCGACTCTGACGTGGGACAACTTTCACGAGAATTCCTCGTCACTAATTCCAATTCCTACCCATCTTATCAGAACCACTTGGTCAGAGAAAACGTTCTCCACCGTGCTCGACCAGAAACCGAGGCCGACAGCAACAAGCTGTTTAGAGCCTTAGACCGAGCCGGTATGCTGGGCCCAACGGTATCGACCGCGGCCTGCATGTCTGAATTGGGACTTTTGTCCCTCTTCTGATTGCGTGCAGTGTGCTTGCTCGCATATCGGGGATGGATGGGCGGATATCTCTCGCAACCTCCCCCAACACCGTCTCGTCCCCCCATCAGAGAGATTCGCGGGCCAATCTGACGATGCCGTGTCATTGAAGACGCGGAAAGACATTCACGCTACCTGGAGCTGCTTGTGTACTGCCCATTTGGGGGCCGTGACATGCGCGTGCGCGATTGTGAACGGCTCTGCCCGTCCGTTGTCGTGGACGTCTTCGTTACCAGTCTCGGTCCCTGTTTGCCGCCCTGGTGGGAATATGTGTGTGTGAGGCGGGGGGAGCTCTGTTGGGGACTTGAGAGCAGATGCCCAGCACCTACCTACCTCTTCACTTCACCAGCGCAGGTTGCGGTGGATTGCAACCTCATTTGCCGGCTCCAGCGCAACGGGACCGAGAAAGGCCTCGTTCTCCCTCGACCTTCAATTCTCGACGAGGACTTGGAAAAATGTGATACGAGTCGGTCGGCCGCAAAATCAACAAAGCCGCGCTTCTCCCGCATTGTCCGAACCAACTTGGACCGTGTGATTGGGATGGATTTCTCCGCGAAGATCAGCTTAATCAGATCAATAGACATCAGGTCAATAGACATCGGGCCAAGTCCTGCCCGTCCACCAGGTATGACTCTGAGAGAGAGGTGGTTGGTGATGTACCTTTACACCGGCCTCTATCTTGCTTCACCATCGTGTGTACCATCAACAGAATGCTAATCGCTGTAAAAGGGTACACGAACAAGGGATTCACGAGCCAACGTGTCTGCCACGCATCACACGTCCGCTTTACGAAACTGATGTACTCGAATCCCCGCTTCTGTATTCTATTCATGGCAACACGGATTCCGACAATCTGGGACGGCGTTTGCTCAGTATTGAAGGGGGGAAAAGGAAAGAGAAATTTGTAGGGCACGCTGCGGTGAAGCGCACCGTTCGACACAGAGTGGGCCCTGATCGACCTTCATTCACACGCTAGGTCTGACAGGCCACACCCAAGCCTACCGTTTGTCTAAACCGTCTGTGGTAGGGATGGGATGGGGATTGGATGGAAGCCCGGGCCCGTTGCGGCTTCAAATCCTACTGGCGGGTACGTATCCCTCCTTCACCGTTGGTTGTGCATTGACTGTTGGTTCGAGTCTTTCTTCGACAGCTACCTCAAGCCTCAAGTCATGCTACCCAAGCCAGACTCTATCACCTGGCTACGGTAGCCGGGCAGCAGTCTACGTTGACTAAAGTACTACGTGGATGCACACAATGCCTGGTTAGTTCTCATGTAGAGCTCAGAGGAGAAAATACCCGAATTTGATACCAGTGACTCAGTATTCTGACGTCTTTATGTTCGGTCTTGTAAGAAGTGGCAGAGAGCAGGCTTACGACCTAGGTACTTTACCACCTTGCCTACATAACATCTTCGGACTTACCCCGGAGAACTATTCCTCAAGACTGAGAGAACCTGGACTACACGCCTTTAAACCCCCCGTCTGTTATCCTAGGAACCAATTCACAGGAACGGATAATAAGATCCGGCCAAGCCCCCCAACAATTATGTTGCTTGAGAAATCCCCGCCCCTGTCAGGGTCCCTGGCGACCCGTCGATGTCTCGCAGCCAGACTCATCACCTGACAACAGCTCGCTTCGCAAACTTATCTACGCTTCACAAATTGCTCAAACGTGGAAGGCATACAATTGCTGTCCCTGAACACGAACTTTTCATCGTTCATCGAGACCGTCATTTCCTTGAAGAATTCCGTCCTAACCATCATTCTAGTACAGTAAAGCCTAGGGTGTCATGTAGGTGACTTCGACTGATCACAGCGCTAGCACGACTTTTGCTAAAAGCAAACCACCTCGACCCCGGCGACCCGGTGGGGTGTTACGGCAGCCTGTAACGCCTACTCCGTTAAAAATCGGGAAGGCACTATGGCCACCCTCCTACCTATTACCTATTGAATATTTTCTATATTAATATATACTAAATTTGTTATCTATTAAATCCCTTACTTCTAATTAACCTAATATAGGCTTATTAATATACTAAGCTTTTTATTCTTATTTTTTCTTAATCAAGCTTTAATTTTAGGTTTTTGTCTCTTTATATTTATATACTAACTAATAAATAATCTTTAATATTTACTTCACTTTTATTATATTTTATATTGATTTTAACCTTTTAATATAAAATTAATTATAATATATTAGTTATTGAACTTAAAACAATTTTGGTTAAATTTTTTAATTAAATTTACTTATATATATTTATATATAACGTGGTTTACCAGTCAGCCGCGCATTTTCTTATCGCATACTAAATTGCATATTTACCTAATTTCTTTGAATAATAACTAATTAAAAAGATTTCAGTATCTTTATAATATATTTAAAATATAACTAGTTAAATTTAATAGAAAAAGACACTTTAATCTTTTTATATTGAAATAAGTAGTGGAATAGAAATATGGGTCTTTGATAAGGATATAATATATTTACTCTATCTCTAAATAGAAATTAATTTTTAAAACTTTTTATTTAGTTTGGTAACTCTTATCAAAGACTAATGAAAAAATTTGAACGTTATATAACCAACAATGAAAAAGATATTAATTATATAATGTAGGCGACTTAGTATACGATAAGGAAATGCGCGGCTGACTGATATGCGCGGCTGACTGGTAAACCACGTTATAGAAATATACAAGATTTTATTTCACTTATTTTATTAATTATACTAATATATACTATAACTATATTTAATATAGAAAATATCTATATAATAATATAGGCGTATAAAAAGAAAATATAATTTCTCGGTTTTTAACGGAGTAGGCGTATAGGCTGCCATAGGTGTGCTAGCTCTAGCCTCCAGGACCTAGGAATCCGTGACCGGGCACTAGTTTGCTGATCGTCGATGGAGGGGTCGGATTATTCTCCCTGGCTCCCACCCCACCACCCCTCCTCAGTTCGAAGGATCAGATACGATGTCAATATCGCCGACGCCTGCGGCAAACTCATTTTCCAGATATTAAGAGCGAAAGGGAACCAACAACTAGCCAAGGGTGATACGCGATGTTTTCCCTCTTCATTCTCCACGACCCCCCCCTCCCGAATGCTGGCCTGTAACTAGCCGGGGGTCTCTGCTTGTTTCGTGGTATCCCTGACGCCACGACCGCATCACGCATGCAGTCCGACGCGCGTAGGCGCCAACAAGCAGCTCTGCGGATTCCCTACGGCTCAGGACTCTTCATCCGGTATGGCCTTTCTCTGTACGACATGTAGGAAGCTGCAATTTTGGACACAGGAGAGCCAGTCGCAGTAGCAGTTGCGCGCTAAAGTCGAATCCTTTCGCGGTTGCGCCAGTTCCTCGACCTCGGGATTTGAAGCAATGTTGTGCTCATACGAATTTAACTCGATGCCACGAAGCTGCGGGACTTGAGGTTACTAAGTTTTGCTTATCTGTGAGCGGTCTTCCGGTTCCGCATATGCGCCAGTCCAGTTCGGCCAGGCGGACGTATCTCCAGTCTCTGAACGCCGTGCAGCAAACCAAGGCTTGTTGGAGGTACCCTGTGCCCTGCGACAAATCACCACCATCCGCGAAATAAAAGTTTCGGCGGATATCGTCCCATTCCGGAAATCTTATGGGTGCATCTCGCGGCAAAAACCACCACTGCGCCATTCCCAAACCCTCGGGTCTTCAAGTTAGCCACTGCTACACGGCCAGCACAGCACTTTGCACCCGCTGCCTTGCTGGACCCATGTATCCGTTGGTGCTTGGAGCATCACGCGAAAAGAAGAAAAGAGGAAGGATGGGTCACCGCTTACCAGGATTCAGCAATCAAAACAAGCACCAGGCAGAAATCGGCAGACTGGCTTGGGCTCTCCCGGGTCGTGTACCCGGACTGTCTGTTTCTCTGCAGAGCCCAGAACAATTGCAGAGGTTCAACCGGTGAACTCCGCCTTGGGTTTTATTTCTGGCCCCCAGGGTGAGCCTGTTGTACAACGTCACTGACGGATAAAGGCTGGAGGCTCTTTGGTGGGTACAGTGCTAGATATGATATTCTTCGTCCATATAGCACCGTCTCACCACCCACCAGATGCCGTTGCAGCAAGGCGCATGTGGTCAGCGATTAGCGGCCAGGCGGATTGGCATGAAGCTGCTTTTGCGTACTGGCTGTTACCTCTGCCTTGACCGCCAGATCAAAACGATGCGCTACATTCAGACTCGGTGACAACCAGTGATTCTGCTAGAGCATTGAAACAATGTTAGGGTGTGGCACTGCTACACACATGCGGATGCCTGTCTCATAGGTCGCCTGATATAGCTGCGTTCTTTGTTGGAGGGAATTCTCGAAAAGTTGTCAATGTGAGAAACGAGACCATCCGGCAAACAAGACTGGTACTACCGACCAGGGGTTTCATCCATTGACTGAGACCCAGCATGCTGTCTAATCACATGACGGGCGACGCAAGGACTAGTAGAGCTATCTTAAAGAATTGAGACCTTCCGAGATAGCATTCCTGCGTACATTTCTAGCCACTCTTCATTTCCATGTGGCGGGGTTGCAACCGGGCCCATGGCTATCTTGTTGCCGAACGACATGCCCTTTGCTACCGCTTGTTGAGCTTGCTTCGAGGTGGCTGGTTCTTGCTGCCCATAGAGTCGGAGACGGAAGCTTTCCATCTGTAGCAAAGCCATGTCCGCTGACGTTGCTCTACCACGACTCGAGCACACAGCTTTTTCTCGTCTTCACGCAGCGTATTCTGCCCTCCCCTGAGAATCCCTAACGCCTTGCAATGCCAATGTTTTCCAAAACTCCAATTCGTGAAATCCGTCCCTGGCGAGTTTACGGGTTCAAGGACATCTTCTTCTCGTTGCGCCCGTCGGGGGTGTACCTGTGGGGGGTTTGTAAGCTTCAAAGAGCGATTCGGCGCATGCTGTTTCCATGGGTATGCATACTTGAGGAGCTTCTCGATGAGGTCGACGTGGGTCATGACCATGCGGCGGCAGCAGTAGCGCTTCAGGCCAAGCTGGTCCATCGCGTCGCTATTGACGTGCACGTTAGTTATCGTGTGTCGCGATCGCAATCCAGGATCGCGATCGTTGTGACTCACCCATCCGTAATGCCGTCGTCGATGAGCTTGAGGTAGCGCTCCCACAGGTCTCCAGTGACCTGACAGCACAAGTTAGACATGAGGCGTCAATTGCATGCGATTATCGTGTCCACGAACCTTGCCGCAGGAGAAGCAGCGAACGGGGATAATCATCTTGACTGAGGAAGTCGAAAACGAAGATGTAGCAGTTTGACCTTAGATTACTGAGAGAACGTAGCGGTGCCCGTACGTCGCTTCTCGAGGTGTTGCGCGGGTTGATGTGCTGAGACTGTTGCCTTCCGAATGTCGCCGTCGTCAAAGAAACTTCGGGGCCTTCCTGTCGATTGCAAATGGGAGGCGCGCGACCGGACGGGCGAACAGAAAATTTGTCGGTCCGTGATTTCCTCCGCCTCTTATCTTATCAGTGTTGATTGTGGGGGAGGTCCCACCAATTGCATGGCCGGGCGACTGAGCGGGACCAAAATTTCTTTGGCAACTCTCGAACTTTTTTTCTTTTCTTAGCAGGAACGAAAGAAGGGTCGTGTGCGAAACAGAGCAGGATCGAAAGCCAGAGACTACCGAACGAAAGAAAAGTCTCCAGGCCGCCAGCTTCCTTTCCTTGTCTCCTCGCCTCGAGAGTTTTGCGACGTTCAACTGACTGGTGCTCATACATCATTCTTCGGCTTTGCGCAAATTTATACCTACACCATGGCTGGCCCTTCGACCCCGAGAAGTCGGGAGGACCAAAAGAAGCGTAAGAGAGAGCAGAATGAGAGGGACGGACAGGCGAAGCGCCTTCGGCAAAAGACTAAAGCGGGCACGGCAAATGGCCAAAAGAACGGAAACACCGACGCCGACGACCTTCGCGACGGCGCCTTGAACGTGCTTTCGCAGCTCCAGAAGAACCTTACCGACGACCAAATCGAGACCGAACTGGTCAAGCTCGGAAACACGGAGGCCCAGGAGGCGGGATGGCAAGTTTCTCTGCCAATGGGCGGCCGAATGGCTGACATTGATCCCATCTTTGCCGAGAATGAGAAGTAGGTGCCATTTCAACCGACGTTTCTTCGTTGACTTTTTGGGTCTAACATGAGAATAAACAGGTACCTCATTGTCACTTACAACACATCCTTGCAAATCTACTCGGTGGCCGAGTCACTACTGATCCGAAGAATCGCCCTCCCCGTGGTCCAGAACACATATGCGGAGAAGTCATCTGCCCCCACGATCGTGGCCACACGCCAATCGCAACTCAAGCCCGACTTCCTCTGGGTGGCCTGCTCTGATGGCAGGGTCTGGCGGGTGAACTGGAAGAAGGGAACCGGGGTCTACGACGAGTTCCGGACCCAGTCGCAAACGGCCCTGGACTTGTCCGTCGCAACAATCAAGGGAGACAAGAAGATGACGGAGGTTCTGTACGTCTCGGAGGGGAAGAAGCACGCAAAGGGCGAAGTTGTCGCATACAGCGGCCCCGATTTCAAGCAGCCCCTCGCCGGGGTCCTCTTTGCTACAAAGCAGGTCGACCAGGCGATGCACTTGCTGCGCTCTAGCCCCGATGGCAAGGTCATTGTCGGAGCTACCAAGGATGGTCTCGTTGTCGGAACTGGGACGCCGGAGTCTGAGTGGGAGTTCTTCGCCTTCGATACAACCGATATTATCTGCGCCCTCGATATCCGAGTTACCCACAGCAAGGACAACTCTCTCGTCCTCGACCTGATTGCGGGTGGTGCCCGAGGTGCCATCTACTTCTACGACGACATCTTCAGAAAACTGCAGAACCTCAATGGGTCAAAGTCGAAGAGGGAGGCTCTTCAGAGCCGCAAATTCCACTGGCACAGGAGGGCTGTCCACAGCGTGAAGTGGTCAAAGGATGGTAAGAACTTTCAGTCGGTATTTGCCATCATTTGCAAACACTAACACGCGCCATAGGTCAGTACATGATTTCCGGTGGTTCGGAGAACGTCCTTGTGCTCTGGCAGATGGATACCGGCAGGAAAGATTTCCTTCCTCACCTGTCGGGAAGTATCGAGAACATCGTTGTATCTCCCACTGGAGCTTCCTACGCAGTGCACTTGGATGACAACTCTGCTATGGTCTTGTCCACGTCTGAGATGAAGCCATCGACGTACATCTCTGGTATTCAGTCAGCCGCTCGGTTTACCTCTACGCCAAAGGACTTGCTCGTCAAGCGTCTATGGTCTGTTTCCGACGAGGTACGGCATCCGGTTCCTGCGGCACTCAACCCTGCGGAGCCATCAAGACTGTACGTCTGCACAGGAACCGGCCAGCAGTCTATGTTGGCTGGCGAGATCCAGTCAGCACCCTTGTTGCAATCATTCGACATGGAGTCGTTCCGGAGTGTCTCCAAGCAAGCTCTGGCAAGAACGCAGCCGACAGATGTTAATATTACGTCCAAGGGCAACCCCATTTCAGAGCCCCGTATAACCCATGTCGCATTCTCGCAAGACGGCAGGTGGTTGGCGACCGTTGATGACTGGCAACCCCCTAAGCGTGATCTTGAGAAGGTGGCACCAGAAGCGCGCGAGCAGTTTGTGAGAGAAAGGCGCGAGATTTACCTCAAGTTCTGGTCTGCAACTGCTGGCGAAGAGCACTTTGCCCTGTCTTCCAGAATCAACAGCCCGCACGTCACAAGTCGGCCAGAGACGGTTCTGGCGCTTGCGGCAGATCACACAACAAACAGATTTGCCACCCTTGGAGATGATGGCATGGCGCGGATATGGCAGTCAAAAACAAGGCAGCAAGACGGCATCGCGTCCAAGGATAACGCTGGCGAGGCTCTGCACTCGTGGTCATGCTCTGTGACTGTTGGTCTCGGAGGTAACGTGGGAGCTGATGCGCTTACCACTACTGGAGAGTCGACTGGCGAGCGTAGCGGAAGCCTGTGCTTTTCCGAAGACGGCTCGACACTATTCGTTGCCTTTGGCCACTCAGACGACGGCGGCATCTATGTGATCGATACCAAGACTGGTGAGATTAGGTCAACACAGGAAAACCTGTGGAAGGGCCACATCCGCCGCCTCCAGGTTCTCTCTCCATACATCATCACCCTCTCGGATGACCTGAGAGTGTTTGATGTGGTCGCCGACGAGCTGCAGTACGGCATTCAGCTGCCGAGTGGCCGCAACGCCACGGCAGTCAAGGAGTTTAGCCACTTGGCTATTGACCGCAAATCACGGACGTTTGCCGTCGTCGTGCCCGGCGGTCAAGCGTCGCAGCTTGCAGTTTTCAAGCCAGAAGAGCCCGCGCTGTTGTGCGTGAGGCGCATTCCCCACCGCATCACCAGTCTCGTCTCGACCGGAAGCTCATCAGGCTTCGTCGCGGTCGACGATGCCGCGCAACTGTGGACAGTCGCCGAGGCCTCGGATCCCGCCGCTGTTGCCCTCTCCAGGCCATTGGAGGACATGCAGTTGGACGGTGAGCCGGTCGCCGACGACGCGATTCTGGACGACGCCATCGAGGATGAGGAGATGGCCAGCGACAATGAGGAGGAGATAGAGGCTGTGAACGGAGAAGAGATGGATTTGGATGATGACGACGCCCAGCCGGCCGTCATCAACAGGCAAAAGCTTGCCGAGCTGTTTGATGCGGCGCCGGCTTTTGCCATGCCCTCGGTTGAGGACATGTTCTACAAGGTTACGGGTTTACTGGCGACGAAGCCTCTGGGGTCTTGAAACGGCTAAACAAAAGTTGTCAAAATATGTGCATTATACCCGATAATAGAAGAATGTAGTAAAAGCATTTGGATCTTCAAAAGGGGTTTCTTCCGCAGAGATTTGCTTAACTTGGCCTGAAAAGTAAACGACTCCCTCTACTCCAGGGCCCCGCACGAAATACCGGCGTGTTCCTCATCCGCTGGATGTATACACCTTGATGGACTGCCAGGCAGGTACGGTCAGACCGCCTAGTTCGTACCTACCTTCCACACCTGCCACGAGAAGGGTATATAGACACCCTCAATCCCATTCCAGTCACCAGCCAGGAGGCGCCCGTCTAGGTCGACGGGTCAGGTCAAACTGGCTGGGTGGTGGAGTGGTTAATGGTCGACATTTAGAAATTCAACGCCAACCAGCCTACTCGACGACAGGCTTAGCGAGTACCCGAGTTCGAATCCCAGCATGAGCACCAAGAGATGTAGCCACACCGGTGGTGAACTCTTTTTTAGTTTGTTTGGGTAATTTTAGATTGGTATTAGGAGTCACTTTGTCTTACTATGACAGAGAAATGCAAGTAGGAAGAAAATAAGCTACACATGGCATAATGCAGGATCGCGACCCCGTAGCTGCCAGTAGAGGCTGGTGTTGTGCTGCTTTCGCGTCTCTAGCGGCTATGAGGGTCGGGCAGCGGTCACATTGAATATAGATACGCGCCGGTTATTCGGTGACCCCGCCGCCCGCATTACGCCATCCCGTTGCCCAATTGCTCAAACGACGGCTTACTTAGCAGCGGCGTGCTGATGCAGCCTCGGATGGTGCGTTTTGCCTCGGATCATACCACTAACATCCTGAGATTGTGAGAACAAATATCAATACGAAACAATACGCCATCATTCTTTTTGAAAGCTTTCGTGATTCTGCCGTTCTTGGCTCGGCTCATCAGATCTAGAGCTTCAATCTCGACCGTTTCGAATTCCAGTAGATTATGGGACAAAAGGAGTGAGACACACTAAACATGTCTTTCACATCCATTCCAATCCTCGACCTCGCCTTGGCGCGGGACCCCGAGACGAAGCCGCAATTTCTCGTCGATTTGCGCCATGCACTCATGGAGGTCGGGTTTTTGTACCTCAAGAACGTCGGTATCCCCGACGAGCTGTTCAAGAGGGTGATTAAGGAAGGCAAGGGCTTCTTCGACATACCCACCGAGGAAAAGTACAGTGCGCTCCTTTATTTTATAGAAATGAAACTCTGGATTGTGTATGAGGTTGTAAGTGTGCTAATATTCCCGACCAGACTTAAAATAGAAATGAAGAACGCAAAATCCTTCCTCGGCTACTCCCAACTCTCAGCAGAAATCACAGCAGGCAAAATAGACCACCGCGAACAAATCGACCTCTCCACAGAACACCCGCTGCCCGGATCAAACGACCCGCTCTACTACAACCTCCTCGCCCCAAACCAATGGCCTTCTGAATCCGCCGTTCCGGGCTTCCGCGCCACCTTCACAGAGTACATGGACCGCATGGGCCAAATCTCCATCGCCTTTACCTCACTCATCGCCGAAGCCATCAAACTGCCACCCAACGCCTTCAACAAGTACTTTGACGCCAACCAACAACACAAGCTCAAGATCGTCAAATACCCAGACCTCCAAGACCTCGGCATCTCGGAACCCGGGATCCAAGGGCAGGGTGTCGGTCCGCACAAGGATAGCATGCTGAGCAGTTACCTCTTACAAGCAAGCCACCACCGTGGGCTACAGGTGCAAAACGTCCGCGGCGAATGGATCGATGCGCCGCCCGTCGAGGGCACACTTGTCGTGGCTATCGGGCAAGGGTTAGAGGCGCTGTCGCAAGGTGTCTGCGTGTCGACTACGCACCGCGTGCTCAGCCCGCCCGCCGGCGAGGGCGCGCGGTTTTCGATCCCGTTTTTTCAGGGGGTGAGAGGGGACGCTGACTTTGAGGACCTGGAGACTGTCGGGGTCGGGCGGGTGCCGGAGGATATCCGGGAGCAGAGGCGGCTTGTGCTGGAGAGGAACGGCGGAGCGAGGCTTGATGATGTCGAGTTTACGTTCCGGAGGGGCGGGGTTGCGAAGACGCTTGGGGAGGCGACGTTGAGGAATCGGGTTAAGAGTCATCCGGACGTGGGGGAGAGGTGGTATCCGGATATTTTGGCTGCTATTCGCGAGGAGCAGGCTAGAGCTGCTGGCGGCGGCGGTGGTGGCAGCGAGGAGAAGGGCGATGTGAAGGGTGTTCCAGGGGTTTCGTCCGTTCCTGTTCCGGCGCATTGAAGGCTCGTCGAGAGACAAATATCTAAGCTTCAGGAGAGTCCTACCTAGATAGACTCGTATCTAAACACACTCGTCAGTTGTACTTGCCCAGATTCCCGGCTTGCACTATAGTACTAGCAACCTCAAGCAGACTGTAACAGCGGACTCGCTCGACGTTGAGAAGCGCCGCAAGTTATGAACGTTTGTGTGCTCGTCTAATCGTATTCTTTTCTGAATTTTCCGAAAATAAAGAGGGCAAGATTTCAAATTACGCCTTTTCGCTGCATGCCAGGCCAGATCTTGACCGACTCCGACCATCATTTCTTCAACATCACGCCGTACCGCCATGCTCGCCCCTGAAACTCCTCACAACTCCAGTCTGTCCATGACTCCTCTCTCTCGGTATCTGTTGTCTCTCAAAACTATGCGGCAACGAAGGCGGGGAAGCAGTCGGCGAGACCCTTGCTGTGCTTGTTCTCGGCATGCTCCGTAAGGCTTTGCAAGGACACAGACGTCAGTATACCCAGTTTGCCAAAATCATACAAAATCATACAGAATAAGAGGTAGGTTGCGACTTACGCGGGAGCCTTGGTAGTCTTGAGGAAGGTGGACTTGCAGATCTGGCACTGGATATCCTTGGCCGCAGCGTTCTGGTCGCAAAAAGTGTCAGTCGTCTGGACCTAAGAAACGTATCGATTGCGGATAGAATATACGTACCACCTTGAGCTGAGAGCCCTTGGGCTTCGCGTCCTTGGCGTTGCGATCACGCTTCTGCTGAGCCTTTGCGCCCTGATTCCCCCAGAATGTCAGCATCGGTTCTGCCCCTCATTTTTGGACCCTGATCAGCGGTGGGGGAGGGGGAAGGGTTCGTTGGCTGCACTTACGTTACCCATTTTGATGATATGTGTCGGAAGTGGGAGTAGTTTGTAGTGTCGGGTGTAGGAGAGTCGAGTGCAAAGAGTCGATAGCGTTCGTGAAGAGTTCGTGAGGTTTCGGGAAGTGAGGAAGGGAAAGTCGTTCGAAGCGGGCGCAGACCGACTGACCTTTTTTTTTCTGCTGCCCCTCGGACGACCCCGTAGCGCTTCTGCATGGATCGGCATTCCAGACTGTCTTTGGGCACGGGCCTTCCGGGCTAGTAACGTACCAGTCGCACTCTCCACCTGGGGTCTTCACCGACGGCACGCTAATAGTGGGTCGTTCCTGCTGAGGAAAAAGTCCGGGCCGGATTTTGTTTGTAGCGTCCCGGGAATGTCGCTACAGAAGCCGTTTCATTCAGTCTCCTTTCTTTCACATGCCTGAATACCGTAACTGGCATTACAGTATCCGTATTGTCAGGTCATTCGTCTCGTTTCAACGGACCCATTTTTTCTTAATAGAGTTACAGCTTCCACGCTTCTTCTTGCTTATTTCCTTTGTGGCTTTCCGCCCCTCCATCAACGACGAGCCTCAGACGAGTACGATTGAGTACAGGCATTACCTAATTATCTTTCGACCAAGTACTTTGACACCACGTCGTTCAGTGTGGGCTCTGGCTCCTTACATCGAAAGAAGCTAGGTACTGGCCTCGCGACCTGATCCACTCCCTTGCTGCTTTCAGGAGCGCGTCAAGCTTTGTCCTGGGGGGCTTCATTTAGACCCTACTCACACCCTTGCCGTACTTCTTTATACGTCTCTTTGCTCTGAGAACCCAGTTACTCGCGATCCCAGACGTGGTCAAGGAACGTCGCGCATCATGGCGACCTGGACTCCCAAGATCATATCACCGGACAAGCTATCTGCTAAGGAATTTAAGCATCTGCTTTCGGAATACAAACCTCTCATCGAATCCATTTCGTCCACCAAAGGCGGTATGTCGGCCCTCGATCGCGGGCCTTCCCCGCATTATCAATGATCTTGCCAGCAGATACCTGACTTCTCTCAATAGCCAAGCCTGGCCAAAAGACCCTGGAAGAACTGGACCATTTCCGATTTGTTGAGGCCCCGACACAGTTTTCTGAGTATGAGCCGAAGCGGGTAATGAACCACGATGACGTGAAACTCTTAGTGGAATGGAAGCTGTAAGTGCGAGTCTTTCTTGATCACGCGTTCCCCTACAACATGTGTTTGCGGAGCTTCCGCTGCAGGACCCCGTTTTCAAGAATCTCGTATAAGTGTGCATATGTTGAGTCATGTGCGCCTCGATTCCTGTAATGATTGGAAGAGTCGAGTTTTCTAATTTATTTGCTGCAGCCGCCATGGGACATTTCGTCCAACGCTGATGAAATTGGTGTCATCCAACGATTCTTCAGCTGTTTCGGAGACTATTCAGAACGCCGTTGCGAGCTATCACAATACACCGGACCTTTCAGCGGCTTTGGGCATTCTGACCAGGTTGAAGGGCATCGGTCCCGCAACAGCCTCGCTTCTTCTTGCGGTACACTTTTGTGAGAAAGTCATGTTCTTCTCCGACGAGGGGTACTACTGGCTGTGCAACAAGAACCAAAAAGCATCAGTCAAGTACAACATGAAGGAGTACGAGTCTCTCAATGTGGAAGTAGAAAAGCTCACGAAAAGACTCAACGTGTCCGCCTTAGACGTGGAGAAAGTAGCCTACGTCATCTTCAAACAGGAAGGCATTGACCCCAAGCTGGCGCTCAAACGTAGCCTGCCAAAGGTTGCAAAGACGGACGCGACGAAGACAGAGGCGGCAGCACCGAAAAAAAGGAAGAAGAGCCCCGAAGATGTAGTTGAGGACAAGATCCCGGTCAGAAGATCGAAACGCGGGAAGGCTGCGTAATAAGCTTAAAATGGTCAGCGTTCGGACGGTGAAAACCGGGCCTGTTCGAAACACGGCAGATGGGAACGACAGCCCGGATGATATGATCCAATCCGCGTCGACGGATCTGCTCGAGGTTGGCCTCCGATGCATGCGTCTACAACCTGAAGGTGTGGTGAACGTTGCATCAAGTATCCCAGGACTGGGCTGAACGGAGACTGGTCTTAAAAATCCGAGTTAATTCTCTCATCATGCGGCTACTTTTCACTTGTCAGTCGACTCTCCCATTGGTCTTGTATCCAGGAACGAGGTTCAATGAGGTTTGTGGCGGCACAGCGGCCCGGCTGTAGCGTTGTCAGCGACTAGAGGTATCCCCCACCGTTGAGCCGCGGCGACCCGACCTTTTCCCGGCCCCGCGTGATCCTGACCCCGGAACCTAGTCGGCGGCGGGGCCCGATGCCATCGCTCTAGGAACATGCTCCAACTCGTCCATACCACGAACACACGACACGACACGGAGCTTCTGCAAGTACCACCCTGTACGTTGCAGCTATTTGCACAGCGGCATGGAGGACGACATGTTCCAAAATGAATATGGGCAAGGCGATGACACGTCGTCACTGCCGGACCTGGATTTCTCATCCATACCAGACGACCTTCTTTCTCGGTTTCTCTCACCTTTTGATACCCCCAGTCTGCTGTGGTCACAGTCGTTTCCCATAGCTCTGGACAATCACCCACGAGGCTTTATGCGTGCCGACGAAATTTTCACCGAGAATGGCGGGCCCATCCCGCTACCACCGAGATTTGCTCAGATTAAACGGAGTCTCGTCGCCGGCAAGGAGCATGCCATAGTGCAATCATGGGAGCGCCTGTTAGTCGCTCTCCGAGCCGAAATCGCCGGCATCGGTGTTAGGAAGTCAGACATCATTCCGACCATTGACTTCTCGGAGCTCCAAAACCATGCCAGCGTGTCCGAGTTCACCGCCAAGCTCCGGCGCCGAGGTGGTGCCATCATCCGCAACGTCGTACCGGCCTCCGAGGCTCATGCTTGGCGCGAAGAGACGGAGGCGTATCTGTCGGAGAACCCGCACACCAAGGGCTGGCCGACGCGCGACCCGCACTTGTTCGGGATCTACTGGTCCCCATCACAGATCAAGGGCCGAGCCCATCCCAACGTCTTAGCCGCTCAGCGGTTCTTGATGAAGCTATGGCGCTCTCGAGATCCCAGTGCTCCTGTGGTAGCCGACCTGCCAGTGGCATACGCCGATCGTCTACGAATCCGAACTCCAGGTGATGAGGCCTGGCATCTGAATGCCCATGTAGACGGCGGCAGTGTCGAGCGTTGGGAGAGCGATGGTTACGGGAACGCCGGCACGTACCAGCGCATATGGGATGGCAACTGGGAAGACTACGACCCCTGGGACAGTAGCACGAGGCTCAGAGTCACTTCAGACCTTTACAACGGCGCGGGCTCATGTAGCATGTTCCGCATGTTCCAAGGCTGGCTATCCATGTCCGACATCAACCCGGCCGACGGCACCCTCCTGCTCTGCCCTATGCTCCAGCTCGCCACCGCCTACTTCCTCCTACGCCCCTTCTTCTCACCACGCAACCCCTCACCGACGTCCCCCAACTTTCTTGCGCGCGAGAACTGGGCATTGGACTTCGCCCAGACGAGCATCATCCAAGGCGCCGTCCCCTCTTATACACAAGAGCTCAACTCGGCTCTCCACCCCCACCTCCAGCTCGACAAGTCCCTCGTGCGCATCCCGCCCGTGCGGCCGGGCGACTATGTGGTATGGCACCCGGACATGGTGTACGGCGTCGACAGGGTGCCGACGTCGTCCGCGCCCGCGACCATCATGTACATCCCGGCCTGCCCCCTGACGCAGACCAACGCGCTGTACCTCGCTCGTCAGCGGAAGGCGTTCCTCCTCGGCCAGCCGAGCCCGGACTTTGGAGGCGGCAAGGGGGAGACGACGCACACGGGCCGCCCTGGCACGCAGGAGGTTAGCGACGCGGGCGGGGAGGACGGGCTTAGGGCTATGGGATTGATGCCGTGGGAGGATAAGGAGGGGAGGAGTCCGACGGAGAAGGCGCTGGTTGGGATGGCGAATGCGATTCTGTTTCCTGAGAGCTATGATATGGTTTGAGCATTTTTCTTGGGACAAGGGGCGGGGGGTCATGCATGGCGTTTGGGTTGATTCCTGGGTGCATATGGGAGGCGAGTTTGGTAAAGCAAAAGGTTTGGGAAAAGAGAGTCGGCAGTATCATGGTTCAGATTGGAAAACTGGCCTTTGAGAGAACGGTTCTACATGCAAGGATGCCTCCGGTTTCACGGTGGCCTCAATCCCGTCTACGACGTTCTGGCAGAAAGCAAAGTCATTATTTCCTGGAAAAGAAGCTGCAACTTGAAGTAGGAATCCGCCACGATATTTCTGACGAACGGCCGCAGGGAGCAGACTCGACCAACAAGGGGTCAGGCGGTGCGTTGCGATTTCCCTGCATCTAATGACAGAATAGAACTTCATACTACAAGCCATGTGAGGCCATGAGAACTCTGCAAATGTCTCGGACCTTTCGTTCCGAGTACCTGATATGCAACTTTGCAACGTGCACCACGACAAGAATGCCTCGCTCATATGATGGGCTGCGGGTACTAGCGAGGGGGTGAAATTCGCCCATCCTGTCTTCATTGCATTTATGCTGGGTATTTCATTGGAGAGGGTTCTCCCAAAACCGCCTTGCGCTGCAGAGCCTACAGCAACGAAGACGCAGCCTGCCTACATGGTGGCAGACTTCACACCTCACTCGGTCCAATGATACGATGGCGTTCTGCCCATGGCTGCCTAAAACCTAGAACGAAACCTGAATAAGATCTATTCATTTCTCACGTCGTCTGTTGGAAGTCGACTCTCCGCACAGAAACTCAACCCCAATAGCGTACTTAACGTCAGCTTTAGGATCAAGAGCAATTTACAGACAACTGTTTCGATCGCCGGAGTGTTCTGTCATGGCCGACCCCTTGAGCATCGCCGCAAGCATTGCGGGACTCCTATCACTTGCGGACATTGTCTGCCTGCGCTTGGCTAAGTATGTCAAATCAGTCAAGCATGCCGAGAAAGAGATCAGTGATCTGCGCGACGAAGTCAATCTAGTTGGAGGAACTATCAACATGCTGTCGCGATTGGCAACCGCTCTCGATGCGGAGGATGGGCCTCCTATTCAGGGCTTTCGAATGCACCACATTGATGGCTGTGCAGCAATCTTATCCGAGATTATCAACAAGACGAAGAAGTATGAAGACAGTTCAGGAGGAAAACTGAAAAAACTCTTATGGCCGTACACATCTTCGAAGACCAAGGAAATGCTTGCAGACCTCTCTCGACACAAGGAAAATATGAACCTTGCGTTATCGGCCACTTCATTGGAAGCGTTACTGCGTTGTCTTGCGAAAGAAGAAGAGAGAGACCGGACGACGGCTGCAATACTCGCTGATGTTCAGAAGACCCGAGAAATTGCGGTGCAGATTCGCGAGGATGCCCAGCGAGAGCGAGTCCTTGAATTTTTCTTGAGATATAACCCGCAATCAAATTACGAGATGAGTGTGAAGTTACGTCACCCAAGGACTGGAATGTGGCTTGAACTTCATTTGTCTTTTCAGCAATGGCTTAGCAACCCAGGTTCCCGCCTCTGGTTGAGCGGCATTCCCGGCGCTGGCAAAACGGTACTCGCAGGCTCAATCATTGGCCATGCTCTTGCGAGAAGCTCAGAAACAGTTGCTGTAGGTTTCTTCTTCTGCGACTACAAGAATGAGACGACACAAAGCCCTGTCAACATTCTTGGGGCTTTGGCGTACCAACTGGCGAGACAGAGAGAGGAAGCGTTTTCGATGCTCGAAGAGTATTACACTGAACTCCATCCAGAAACGGGACTCCCTCGGTCTCCCAGTACAGAAGACCTAGGGCGAACCATTTTAAGGATGGCTCAAGTATTTGAACATACCTATATAGTGGTTGACGGCCTGGATGAATGCGGAGACCACGCAGAGGAAGTTGTGGAGGCGCTTTGCGACATTGCAGAAAATTCGGACGAATTATCGATGGCGCTACTTAGTCGCGACGAGGACAATATCCAACAACACCTGCGACATCCCGAAAACAACTTCCAAAATATAGAAATTGCAGCTCATACGGAGGATATCACCGAGTATCTGACGTCGGAAATCGAACAGCGAATGCGCAACAAGAAGCTGGGATTCGAAGATCTCTCTCTTAAAGAAGAGATTCTGGAAAGCCTCGTCGCCGGGGCACACGGAATGTATAACCTGGCATTTGACTGACTTGACTTCTGGCTAGGTTTCGCTGGGTTGCTTGTCAACTGGATCACCTTGGACATTGCATATCAGACGAGGAATGTCGAGAAGCCCTGCATCGTCTCCCACCTGACCTCCCAGAGACTTATATGCGCATCTTGAGAAGAGTTCCCGAGGCGAAACAAACATTCGTTCATATGACACTGCTTTTCATTGCTTACGCTAAGCCAAGACTCGACACTGCGCAATCGAGAGAGATTCTCTCAATACCATCAACTAGTCGGTATCTAAGCCCATCTGTTATCATAAGGGAAGACGCAATTGCCAGATATTGCAGCAGTCTCATTCGAAAGTCAAACGACGGAAATCGTTTTGAATTCGCCCATTTCTCGGTTCAAGAGTTTTTGAGAAGCAACATCTTACAGTTGTCTGATCTGGGAATGTTTTACATCTCCAAATCCCACTGCGACAGGCTACTAGCAGTGCGGTGCTTGGAATACCTTCAGCTTGACAACTTCAACCACCTACCGACAGCAACAAGTGAGGAACTCACCTACATGAACCACAGGAGCCTCGAATACAAACTCTACGATTACGCCGCACAATACTGGCTGTGTTTCGCTAGAAAAGAATGGATACATTCTGATTTACTAGCCGAGGCGAAACGGCTGTTCGATCCGCGGAAATCCACACACTTTACGTCACGGGCAACGACGTTAGTCTGGGAGATTTGGGATGGTACCGAAAAATTCTCCAGTATGGGAGAAACCGACATAGTTGATCTGATGGCGGGAATTATTCATGACAGCTTTCGACCACTGCACTTCGCGGCGACTTTGTCACTACCAGAGATCTGTTCATTCCTCCTACAGGCTTCGGCTCATTGCGAGACCAAATGTGTGTTTGGAACTCCGATTGAGTGTGCTGTAAGCTGTCTGTACGGAGCTCTCGAGCAACTCTGGTTCAACGGTCCAGAATTCTTCATATCGATGTGGTTTGCATTCTACACAGGAACGGACATATTCGAGACATTCTATACTATTGAGACCGTAAAAGCGTTTCTGGACGTGGATCTCCAAACACCAGAGGGTCTTCTAGGTGCTTCTCTATGTGCCGGGATCAGTGTACGAAACCTCTCGGTCGCTCAGTTACTCGTCGACGAAGGTTTTTTTGTTCCCACTCAAAGCGACTTGGACCGATTTAAAGAAGATATGAGCAGCGTGGTTGATTCTAAAGAAACTTATTGGGGAGCTGACGGTCTGGCATCACTTTGCCAATTCTGCGAAGCACTTGGCTCCGGTATTGATAATTCGCCTCTGAATTTTGAACTTTGTCAGTCGGCGTGGGGATTTTGCCTGCAGCTAACTACGGATCTCTGTGATATCGAAGGCTATAACATCAGTTCTAAAGTTACAGATGATGCACATAGCCTCTAGATATTGGCTTCGGAGGTGGTCCGCTGGAAGCTCGACATCGCTGCGTTGCAAAGGGTGGTTGATGATCAACGAGTGAATGTCTCATCAATTCTGAGTCCTGGTGAGGAAGATGGGCTGCTGGATTTGCTAGTCCGAGAAAATTATAGAGAAGAGAGAGAAGTAGATGACGGCTGGGTTGCCCGGGCTGAGGACATCTTGGACTTGCTGTTGAGCGCCGGCTGTAGCCTTTCCAAGCGCAACCGCGATGGCCACACACCATTGACGCTTGCAATCAGTGAGGGGCAGATTGAACTCGCCAAAGTCATCTTGAAGAGGTGTGAAAATGAACCGACGGCTTGGGAGTGCCAGACACCAATACTGTTATTGGTTGCTGAATCAGGCTCCGAGGAGATCTTGGACCTACTTCAAGGTATGGGTCTAGAAGTTCACCTGGACGACTACGAACAGAAAACCCCATTGCATTGCTTAGATAGTAATGTGTAGTTGACCATGGTCAGAAAATTGGAAGATATGGTCCCAAACGCAAGGCAACTTCGAAGCAATGCAAAGCTGCCGTGGGAATCTTACATGGAAACCATCTTCGCCAAAGGATCATGTGTTGTCTCACCAGCTGTGGATGTGCTGGAGTACCTTGTCCAGCCGCTAGCTACTCATCCAAACCCTTTTGAGGCGTCGAAAGTGTGGGATTACTACGTTTCAAGAACTTTGCAGGGCGAAAACCGTGCATCCAAGTATATTGATGAAGCAGCCAGATGCCTAATGCGTACTGGCATATTCGACAGTTACGAGAAATATCGGTTGAACTCTGCGCTTCTACCAATCGCTGAAGCTTGCTCGAATAAGTGGTTGTTAGACCCTCACGTCGTCAAGGACTTCCCTCTCACGGACGACACATTGTGTTTCCTGCTGAAGACTACAAGCTACTGGAACACCTTCAAAGAGTCACTATGTGGCGTTGAACTTCTGAAGGTGTCTGCCACTCTCAACCACAGCATGGCAGTAGATCAGCTGTTGGCACGAGGCATTGGTGTCCATCGGCGCTACAAAGGGGTTTCCGCGCTGGAACATATTTGCGTGTTACCAGCAACCGACGAAGACGACATTGTCAGGGTACGGAAGCTTCTTGATTATGCGGATCCTATACGCTTGAACCACGCAAATCCAAGTTCCGGCTTGGGATTGATTCATCTCTCGAATGAGGCGGATGTACCGCAGTTCAGGCAAGAGATACTCGAGATGCTTCTAGAGCGTGGTGCCAGCCCAGATCTTCGTACCAATATCTTCTCACATTCACCGGCATTAGTTTATCACTTGAGTGAGAAACATTTTGACTTGGCGGCTACTCTCCTTAGCCACGGGGCAGATCCCACAATCCCGTGTCGAAAGGGATGGACAGCGACTCATGCGGCGATTGCACATGGTCGTGTGTCTTTCTTGTCCGGCCTTCTCCAGCACAGGAACCCCGTTTGGAGAATTGACTGGGAAGGTCAGTGCGACATTTACTTTAACACTCAGTCGTACAAAGGTATCAATCAGACCGCTGCACCACGCAGCCCTTACATCTGTCGATTGCCTCCAGGCTATCCTTGAGAAGGTGATCTCTCTCAATTTGGAGGCACCGGCAGAGAATGGGTATACTGCTGTTCACTTTGCAGTGGTAGGCGGGAATCCCAGTGCGATTGAGTTTCTTCACGCTCAAGGTGCAAACATCAACGCAAGGTCTGTTGATGGCCAACTGGCCGTGCACATTGCTGTTGACAGAGGCGATCTCGCGGCGGTCGAAAGACTCTTAGAACTGGGCAGTGAAATGACACCCGATTGTGATGAAACAACGCCACTGCTACTGGCGTACCAACACAGTAATCAAGAGATCATCAACTGCCTGAGAGCCCATGATGTGGGCCAGTCCGCCGTGGTTTCGACTGGTGTGCATTCTACAGCTCTTGCTAAAGCGGTCTTTAGAGCTATCCAAGCCGGAGACCTCTCTTCCTGTCAGGAAATGCTTGCGCCACTGTCATCAGCGGATATCGATATACCTGGGTCCATACCTGGGGGTTGCACAGCTCTTGGAGTCGCCGTACGCTTTGGGAAGTTGAAGATAATTACCTGGCTTCTGCAACAGGGTGCAGATGCTAACTACCCTCGCGGCAACGACGATTCCATCATTCGATCAATGATCAGTCTACCTAGTCTAAATCCGGAATTGCAAGCGATGCTCGAGAAATTTATTGCAGCCGGTGGTAGCGTTCTGACCGAGCCAGACTGCTTAGTAGCCACGGCTGTGGACGGAAACAATGAGGAAGGGTTAACAATACTTCTGAATCATCTAAAAGCAAATAGAGAGCTTTATGCGTAAGTTAGCTTCCAAGTTTGACAAGGCCCATTCACTCACATCGACGTAGAGAGCAAGTTGGTGCAGACTCGTCGGTAGTGTTGGAGTTAGCTGTCAATAGAAAATGGCAAGGCGAGACGCCCCTGCTTAGGGCGGCATATATGGTAAACGTGTCTATCCGTATCATTCAGCTGTTAATCGACAATGGGGCTGATCTTGAGGCCAAAGACGACGATTATGGTCGCACCCCCTTCACATCCTCGCCAGGGCATCAGCTTCGGTTGACAATTCGGCTGTTATTCGAGTTTTACTCCAGGCTGGCAGCAATATCAACTGTCTCAACAACGATGGCGTTACACCGATAGCCGGAGCATGTTCATGGGGAAACCCGTATGTCATCTCGGCTCTGATGGATCGGGCCCCAGATGTGCTTGTCAGAGATTACAGAGGGCGCAATGTGTTGCATCATCTCATCAAATACGAAGAGACTGGTGAAAGGGGCAGCGTTAGGCCGGCACTCTTCATCAAGCTGAATCGAATGGGTGTCAATCCGCTCGAAGTCGACGTGTTTGGCTGCTCTGCCCTTCATTTGGGTATACACCACAAATATATGGCAACCCTCTTGCTGAACGGAAATATCCAGATTCAGATTGAAAGGCCTATCCCATGGTCGACCATGTATTGGGGTCCAGAAGGAGACAACGCAGCATGCCTGACAACGGCCTTTCGATTGTACCGTCGAAAGCTGTCAACGGATAGGTTCCGCAGGCTTCTAAACCTCGAGGCTGTTAGCACCAGAAATCCCCTGTGCTTCGCTGCATCTACAGGGAAAATACAAATCATGGAAAACATCTTGTCTTTGGGAATCCTGATAGACTTCGAGGTTTGTCCAGAGGGCTCCGCACTGATGGCAGCGTCCATCGCAGGAAACCTGGAATCCGTTATCTACCTTGTTCGCCAGGGCGCGAGCATCTCTTTTCAAGGGCACAACAACTTTCGGTCTGCAGTAGAGCTCGCAGCTACCTCGCCGCGGGTCCTTCACTGGTTGCTTTTTGATCGGTTCACCGACCAGAAGAAACTCTACCAGTCTTGCCACGAGTCGACTTCCCGAACGACAAGTTACAGACCTTGGGGTGGAATCCAGAAAGCTGAGATGATAATATCAGGACAATGGGAGCGACGACCGCATGAGTCTTCTAGACAATACTGGGCTCGTCTATCGAGCATGAAATAAGAGTTTAGAGGCAAATTCCTTCCTCCTAACAACGGGAAGACGACGCGTAGAGAGTCGAAGCTAGTCCCATCAGAACCTGTCAAGATTGCAGTGGGTGGATATTTTGTTCCGTACAATACCTCGTTGGGGGAACGCGTGACAAGGAAGAGCAAGTGGTCGGAATTGAGCTTAGATGTCGGAAAGTGTCTGGATCGTTTCTGCTTACGATCCTGAGGCAGGTCATGATGTTGTGTGGAAATGAGCTGGTCGGATTTCTTGTGGAGCAACTGTTCAGCTTGGCGTTAGGTGTATCTATGACCATCAAATTTCTTTCAAATTCTCATACTGCTTCCGACCATATTCCATGCTATAAACTTGCTGTTCTATCTCATCACTAATTGATGAAGCATAAAACGGTGCCTAACATGACTTCCAAACTGTGACCGTTTGGAAATCTTTCATCCGCTTCTATATCGTTGTGCTACTAGGTGAGCTGGTACGCTCAAATGTTGGGCATAGACTGTCATTCAAGCCATCAACCTTTCCCAGAAACTCTTTTAGTCTTCTTGCCTGCCCCGAGAGTGACTGGGCTAGCCTGATTTCCTATAACACAAGGCAGTCAGAAGCAGACCTAGCGTTTCCTGACATAGCTGTGACTGACATCAATCTATTGGTATGTAATTCTACTGAGCTACCGGCAGGGAAGAGAACCAAAGACAACGGTATTGATTGTTAGACGCTCTGCTTATCTAACTCCTCATTCCGCATCACACTACGCAGTTCGAGATACAGTAACGAGCCTCGTGCCAACCGGAAGACTTGCCCTGCTGATGCGTATACCAAGACGGCAGTTGAAGATGAGACGAGACCCAAATTACCACTACGACCATATCACCACGGAAGACACCTCGCTCTTCCCTCTGGAACAACATGACAAGATCTCTCTCCTTCCACAAAAAGCCACCCAAAAAGAAAGGCAAAATATACATGCAACACCGGGCATTCGCCGGTCGTCTCCGACCCGACTACTACTCCGGCCCTCACTGGTTTATCGATGGGAGAGCGGACGGGATCCCGAGTTCTTCAGTGGGTGTGGTCGCATGTACTATGTCTTGAAGGTGAGGGTGTAGATGTTGGAGCTGTCCCTGAGAGACGGCGGTGGTGCTGTCGTGTCAGGGGCAAAAAGAGGATGTTGAGATTGAGTCTCAGACGCAGCAACCACGCTGACGTTGAATACCTATCTATCATACTACATCAAGCTTTTATTCTGGCCGGAGACGAACATGTCAAAAAGAAGAATGAAGTGCTCTGAGCCGGCAAAAATTCCGAAACCGAGAATCGAACTCGGGGCTATGCCTAACCTCTCATTGAGATGAGAGGGCATCATGTTGGCCACTACACCATATCGGATACTGCTGAAAATTTCTGGCAAAAGCTTATGTAAGGACCCTTGCGCGTGAGGGCCTGAGCCCACAGCACCGGACACACCCCCGAACATCGGCATGTCTGCCGACCGAACGTCTTCCGAGATACGACCTCGAGCGAGTCATGGCACGGCTCGCATCCCATGTCAGAAACCCGACCAGTTTGTCTCATTGCAGTCTTGGGATCCTTTGGCTTTCTTGAGTTCTCGTCTAATACGCTTAGTTCGATGGACTAGTCCGTCTCTTTTTTGCCTGCCGCGCAGATTCTAAAGTAGCTCGATTGAATGGCAGGCACCTAGGTCTACGGGCAGACATTACCCTGGTGTTGGGGATCTCAATCTGACCCCTCCTAAGTGTGGCTCCTCCTCACCATCACGGAAACCACCAGTGACCACCACCCATTACCGTGATCCGTCACCACGCTACCCACCGGCATTGGACCCCCGGAGAACCGGGAGTGGGATGGCGGGCATGGTAGTGCCAATGTTTGGAGGAGGGTGTGGGTAAAGATGACGTTGATCGATCCTTTTGTAGTTCATCGACTCTTGGGAAGATGTTCTGCTTGGGGGAAGACCCCCTGGGCACGTTTGGGGGCCTCGTTTATAGCCTCAGAAGTAGATGGTACATCTGGCTTTACGAGACGTCGATGTACTCGATACATCTTGGTCTTGGCTGTCTGCTCGGGTACAGTCTCCTCTTGTTTATTAATCAGATCTTGTTGAACTTGCGAGTGTCCGTCCTCTCGTATGCGAGACAGGTAAATCAGTGGGACGCTTCCGTAAGAATAGCTTGATGCAGTTGTGAATCTTGAGTCGTGAGAAGGAGATTAGGAGATATCGCCTGGGGAAAGATCCGAATCGTTCGTCGGAATTGCAGCAAACCCACCGGCTCCTTGTCGTTCGATTCGTCATACTCGTCAGAGCTGGCGAGGTAATGACGCAAATCAGATATCACACCGGAGGGGCTCCCAATGTCCATCAAACAGATTTGGGGGCTGGGATATCGTGGGGATATCCTCATCGCATGTTAACACGCAGGTTGCTTTGCACACGTGTATGGCCCGGAGGCCAGAACTTCCTCTCAACCCCCGGCCTTGGCAGGGTGGCAGGCAGGAAAAAGATCTGGGACTTGAATCGTGTATCGTGCATCGGAGAAGAGGACGGATATGGATTGCAGCTCAAAGCCTAGGTGGGAATGGAACTCCAAATTCCAACTTTCCCTGTGGACTGACTCCAAGCTCCGCTAACCCCCTCACAAACTCCTCATCGCTTTTTGTTCAAGCCTATCCCAGAAAGCGATGCTCCCAGCACCCCGGGAATGGACTGTCTTGGTGGCAAGGGGTCCTATCCGAGTGGTTGGCAACATAGCTCTTCTCGGGTCTTCTGACCTCGCATGCTCACCGTTTTCGTATGAAGAGTCGAGACAGTCTCTGGATGGTTGTAAATTGGTCACGCAAGCATACTCACACCCCTTTCTTGAATCGCCAAAATGAAAAATGTTGCAACTTCCTTGATTGACCCCCAAATGGGAATTGCGTCACTCTAATTTCAGTAAGGCAGAGTCACTTCGTATCTTACTTTCCGCCTAGTCCCGCGGACTCCTGGCTGGAGTCTCAAAGCTCACACCCAAGAGAGCGGCACGACTTGCCTGCCCGTTCCGATTGGGAAAGGCTTCAAAATGGTTGAGGTTTCTTGTGTAACCCGTCAACTATGAGATGACGTTGTGGAACTTGGACGGGCCCCGCGCCGCCGGCCAAGGGAGTTGGTTGCGGGAGTCCCACTCGCAGCTTGCCAACCTCTCCCCAGAATCCAAAATATCGGCTAGACTGAAGGTTCACTTACTCATACAAAGTATGCCATTTCGGCAAAAAATGGCTATATCCCGATATGAATCCCGAATTGCTAACACTTCAAAGCCCGAGCGACCGCGTGATAGTGATAGCGGCGGGCAACAACTGGGCAGAACTTCTCCTCGACAACACGAGGAAATAGGTGCTAGCTCGGTCATGCTGTGATGTCGAAATATCGAGAGCTGTATTGGGAAAAGAGCTTGATGAATGCCGAGACATGTCAGAGCTTTCACTAAACTAAGAGAGAACATGGAAAGATTTGGGTCTCACTATGAGTCTTAGTCTAGATCTGATTTCAAGTCCCGGCCGGCAGCAAATGAGAAGGTACAGCTGGAAATCCTACAGCTTCGTAATCGCTCGCGGCAAGAAGAGGGACACTTACTCCATCGCAGGGGCCATTCGAAAATAGTCTCTCACTCAATTAGTCAAATCGAGCGGCCTTGGGCCATCATCATGAAGTCGTGCATTCTTCAGTAGGTTCGCCTAGCCAACTACAAGCAGACCCATCATCCACATCAGTACATCCTCCTCATCGTCTGCAAGGTGGTGCTGAACGACAGTGTTACGAGTGGGATCAAGGTGCAATCCCGCGAGGCATGTTATGAGATTGGGATATTCCCTTCAAAGCTTTGCTGGCCAGGACTAAGAGATATATATAGCACCTACAACGTCGGGCGACCGGACCTTTTACTGGTGAGACGAACCCAGTGGATGATAGTATCTCCATGAGGGCAGAAAATGGTCACCTTGACCTGGTGGATCCTCAATTTGAGTACGCTATCATTGGAAATGCCAGATGCGCGCTTCCACGGAGACGTTTCGGTCGCCCGATGTCCGTGCATTGCTTCGGTATCACTATGCACACCAAATTACATTCGAAACCCTCACAGTGGGGTGCGACTGGGTGAGATTTTGTCCACCCCCGCCATGATTACATGCTGGTGTTTACTATGTGCAGAGACAAGCCCAGAGCCCATTCGAATGTCTTGAGAGTGAATGAGAGGAGAGACATTGTCTTCAAGAACAAGAAGTTGCACAATGATATGACATGTCACCGAGCATCTAGAAACTATATGAAGTAGTAAGCAGGTAGAATTATTCATCAGTGGGCGGCTGCCCTGTGCCAGCTGGAGAGGATTGATTACCTGTGACCTCACCTCACGCGACCAATCACACCCACCTTGGGCGACCTGCCTTACCATGCCCTGAGGTGACGGCGGGACAGGTCACAGCAGACTCGAGGAGCACAGCAGGCCAATGCAGGGGCCGACAGTGGCCCGTGCTTGGCCTTCTAGCCTTCGGATCCCGCCAATCTCAGCCCAGGGAAGGAAGGAGCCGATGGATGCTGCTCCAGCAAAGTACCTTTCATTACCTCATCTCAAGGCTTAAAACAGAGTGCTTGACATGGGGGGCACACCTGTGACTGACGGAGTACAGGTATCCGTACCTTATTGTTAAGCTAACCGACGCCTGTCAATGGCCGCACTAACAAGGCTCCGTCACCGAGGTCGTGCGGCGTGCCTCGCCTTCCCGACGCACCTTCCCCTGCCAGTGCCAGCCCACGTCCATCCGCCCTCCCCTCCGCCCTCCGTCAGGGCCAGCGCCAGCGCCAGCAACAGTACTTTCTACACCACGGTACCACTACCAGACCTTTCTCTAGCACTAGAGCCTTCCTTGGGACCCGACCTTGGGAACAGGATGAAAGTGGATCTCGTTTTTTGCGGCTGGGCTCCAGTTCTTTCCTCTACCTTACTACGGCTACCTGGCGTTCTGCAACCAAACTACACGTACCATACCTTACAGCAAACCACACAAACCCCGAGTCATCCAACGACACAGTAACTGCAACACAACCCTCGACAACCCAAGTAAAGAAATCTTTCCGTCGACTCAAGCCCCGAAACCTCCCGACGCACGTCCGCCAGCCTGCTCCCGAATCGCGGCTCTCTCGACGACCTTGCCTCGCCAATTGGCCCGATATACCACCTTCTTTCTGCCCTCTCTTCCCACACCATCTCCCTCCCTCGAACCGCAATCGCCTTGTCCCAAAGACCGACCCCCCGGGCAATCATCCACATCCACGCGAGAGGGGGGCAATGACCATTCCCCCGCCGAACCATGGCTGATTCGGCCAGGTCCTCGGACAAGAACCCCCGGTCCCCCCTCAAGTCCAAGGTTGTACGCTCTCAGAAGATCTCTCCGCCCAACGATTCGCGGCCCCCACCACCGGGCGTGCCCGACGATCTCGAGGACTTCAGCGACCGCGACATCGAGCAGCACCGCCGTGTCCCCTCCGCTCCGGGAGGCCCCATAATCTCGCGTTCCCATACGCCCGGTCATCTTGCCTCCAAGAGTCAAGACCGTCGCCGTAAACCTTCCGAACTCTCTATCCGCCAGCGCTCCCAGTCGGCCTCCCAGGCCCAGGCCTCACAACAGGCTCGTACGACACCCACGAGCGCGAATACCCCCAGACCTCCACCGCCGTCCTTCCGGCCGAGCAATACTGCCAGCGATGCCACGACGCTGAACAGCAACGATGGCTCCGAGTCTACTGGTGGCCCCGGCTCCGACCGCGATGGCCGCCGCCCCATCGCCATGCGCTCCACATCCGCCATAGCCGCAAAGCCTTCTTCACTCCCTCTCTCGTCATCCTCAACACGCCAGCTTTCAACGACAGTCTCCTCGAGATCCGCCCCCAAAGGTCAACATATCCCCTTTCCGCCCCTCCAGGATCCAAAGACTGCTCCTGATGTACCACCAGCACCCTCATCAGGCATGTACTGGTCTCGAGCGCCCGTCTCAGGGGCTCCCCATACATCACTTCGCGCCCACACGACCACGCTCGTCGGATCCAACATATTTGTATTTGGGGGCTGTGACTCCCGCGCCTGTTTCAACGAGCTCTACGTCTTTGATGCAGATGCCTTCTACTGGTCCGTACCGCACGTTACCGGCGAGATCCCCGTGCC